TCCACCCATCTCAAAATGGTGTTACGGTCTGGTACTGTCGCACGACGTGGAACACGAAAGTGAACGCGAAACTCAGAACGACAGACTCGCCATTTTGAAAGTACCGACGTAAAGTGAACACACGATGCTCAACGTTCCAAACCACCTTGCCAACTGAAACCACAAAACATATACACTGAAGAAGGTTTAATTCCATGCTATTCAATGGTAACACGGTGACTTGTGTGGTTGTCAGCGGCCATTTTTTGAGGGTGCGACATGGTTGTGATATTGTGCACCAGGAACACTGCTTTGTTTCCCATTCGCCCATATGAGTTTCACTCCTCTGGCTGAAACGGAACTTCTCCCACTATCCAACACGCCCTCCTCCACCGAGACTGGACCAGCCCACTCGATGTAGTACCCATTCGAGAAACATGCGTTCTTTCTGAAGGACCCTGTATTTTACGCTGAGAAGGCTTCTTAAGATCGGTGCACACTGTCAATTACCTACTTGGTTGAATTTGCATTTTAGTTATATATTTAACACTTGAAAACGGGTCAGAAGAATCTTTAAAAGCTATGACCTCATGACTTTTAGCACTGTTCAGGACACTACATTCTCAAGAGATGCTTAAGTAAAAGTCTGACACGCGGTTGCAGTTAACTGGAGTTGAACTACATGACTACGGAATGAAACAAGTGATTATCGAGAGTTAAAGATTACCTGTTAAAAACCCTCAAGATGAAAACATTACTTTAGAAAAGAAAAAGCTGGTTTGTTTATTTGAGTTACTCTGTCAGCCAAAAGAGTAACTATTAGGGATGAAATTGAACGGATTTCTTTACAAATTAATTAAATATTCAAACTTCAATTCAAAGAAGTAGCTCATCGAATACGGGTGAAGAACTAGAGATATAAATTAGACAAGTTGTATAAAATCAAGAGATTGAGACCGGTGTGAAGTTGGCAGACAAAATTTAGCGGACAATTTGCCGAAGTTAGCCGAATGACCAGTGGCGTCGACATCCTCGACCGGACTGGGATTGTGAAGGATACAGCTAACAGCGCGCAACAATAAATATATATGCACGAGAATAAGCACCCTATAGGAAGAATCATTTTCCACCCCAATTAAATAATTCGCATGAACAAGACTTAACCCAAAACCTTTCTTCGAATTTTCACTTACAGAATAGTATTGTATACAGTGGACCTCCGGTAATCCGACAAACATTATGCAGGGCAGTGTCGGACTATCGAATTTGTCGGATTATAGAGCACTGCCCTATAGTCCGGAATTTTTTACAAAAGAGTACTTACCTTGTAATCCGACAAATTACATATATATGTTATGTATATGTATGTATGTACTTTGAAGTACAAATCATACATAGTTTATGTATGTCGAATTTAGTAAATTAAATAACAATAGAGAGCTTACGTTTTATTATAAAATGAAGCATAAATGCACATACATATGTACCAAAATAATCAAGAATTATTAATCAAAATCATTAATGAATTTATCAAATTATGAAGCTTGGTAATATTCATCAATTTTTGTTTGTTTAAGGTTGTTATAACGTGAGATCAGAGCTTTGTCCCTTAGTCTTCTCAAAAGTAAAAGTTCGTTGTAGGATGTACCATTCTCTTCAGCCCATTGTAAACCTAGCTCAAAGGCGTTAATTGCGTCTTGTGCTGTGACTTGTGGAGCAGTTGCAATCACGTCGTCGTTATTTTCCTGATTGTTTGTTGTATAATTAGAAACCTCATTTATAGTCTCTTCGTCAGACATTTCATGAAAAACATTTTCCTCTTTATCCATTCCACGGCACCAGATTTCCAAATCTTCCGGACATATCTGTGTTTCAGTAGCGAGTTGTTCTATAACTTCCGAAGTAACACTGATTTGTGGAACGTTGCTAGGAGTGGTGACTATATCTGGCCATAACTTTTTCCAAGACGATTTCATAGTTGATGACGGTAACGCATTCCACGACTGACAAAGAGCAAAAACCAAGTCTTTCATATTAAATTCTTTTAAAGTTTTTTTCTATTGGTTGGTCTTTTAATACGGCTCTCAGAAGTAGGTTTTTCTTATAGTCTTGCTTGACAAACTGAATGATATTCTGGTCCATTGGTTGAATCAGTACAGTGCAATTTGGCGGAAGAAACATCGCAGTGATGCATTTATCCTCAGTTGTTAGTTCTTCTTCAGACGGATGACTGGGAGCGTTATCAAGAAGCAACAACGCTTTTTGAGGAAAATTATGATCTTTTAACCAGTTTCTAACTTCAGGTACGAAGCATTCATCAAACCACTTTTTGAAAAGGTCTTTTGTCATTCATGCACTTTTTTGTCCGTAATAGTGTACAGGTAAATCAATGTTTTTGAATGCCCGTGGTTTATTAGATTTCCCAATGACCATCATCTTGAGCGAGTGTGTGCCCGCAGCGTTAACACATGGTAGTATGGTTTCACGCTCTTTACTTACTTTTCGTCCAGGTACGGATTGTTCGTTACAAGAAATGAAAGTTTTGTTAGGCGTCACACGCCAAAAAAGCCCTGATTCGTCTGCATTGTACACCTGTGACGGGTCAAGATTTGAATCGTTCACTTTTTGCAAAAATCTTAATTTAAAGGGCTCTATGCAGGTGGCATCGTTAGAAAGTTTCTCTCCTGTAATAATCATTAAACGTATGCCATGACGACTTTTAAAACGTTCTAGCCATCGTTTGCTGGCCACAAAATCATCTTTTTTTGTTGTTTCCTTATAAAAAAACTTGGCTTTCATGGCCGACATGGGTCCTGAAATTGGCGCATGCCTATTTCTTTCCTGAAGAAACCACATGTACAAAGCTTCTTCCACTTCTGGATGTTCAGCTTTCTTGAGTGTCTGTCTCTTGCCTGGCCCGCAGTCAGTAGTTGACACGAACTCCTTGATCTTCTCGTGGTTTCTTTTAATGTCATAAATTGTAGATCGGCCTACGCCGTATAAACTTGTTAAACTACTGAAAGTTTCATTGCGATTTAAGCGGTCTAAAATATCACATCTTTCTTTAATTGTCAATGTTTTGTGCTTTCGCTTCTGAGTTTGTGATGACATTACTAGGTACTATACTTAATACACAATGAATAAATAGTAAACAATGAACGCACGCTAGGCCGTACCGCTATCACCAGTAGTCAAATTCAAACTAAGTAAAACAATGCTTACGCGTCGGGCACGATAGCGGTGTTGCGTACAAGTTGTAACCTGTTCAAACCTGCATGATCTACATTAGTGAAGATTGTCAAATACGTATCTATGTAATTCATATTCAAAGACATGACGGATTACAGGGGTCGCCGGATTAGACAGGGGCCGGATTAACGGGGGTCCACTGTATATGGTATTGAAAGTAATTAATGAGCTAAATAGCATATACTGAGAAAATCTCTAAAAGGGTGGTAGATAAAAAAATAAAAAAAAACTTCATTTTCACCGCCAAAAAAATGATTCCTCAAAATGGTTTATATGTTATACAGAGACAATTCATGGGCTAGGTGGCATGGTGTGAGAAAGCTTCCGAAAGACTGGCAGATAAAAAAATATGTTTATAAATTCATTTTCACCCCCAAGGAAATGATTCCCCAAAATCAGTTGTACCTCAAAAAATACTCTATTATCGAGACAATTTATAGGCTAGGTGGCATGGTGTGAGAAAATTTCCGAAAGGATGGCAGATAAAAAAATATGTTTATATATAATTCGAGGGATGTCTTTTAAGTTTTGCATATGGAAATAAAACAACACGGTTGGTTGTTTTAAATGACTATTGTTTTTCGAAGTATTCTCCACGAAGATTAATACACATCTGCTTGTGCTCGAACCAATTTTCGAAGCACTTATTTTTGAACGCGTCAACTGCTTCTTTTGGTGACTGGAACCTTTGACCACGCAGCCTGTTTTTAATTTTCGGGAAAGTAAAGAAATCGTTAGAACTATATGGAGGAAGGTCCAATAATTCCACGTTTTCTTTCGTTAAATACTGCCTTGTTTTTTGGGCTGTGTGCGAGCTTGCATTGTCTTGGTGGAGGATGATTGTTCTTTCGGGGTTGATTTTTCGAAGCTCGGTGATGACTTTTGGCAAACAAATGGTGGTATACCAATCCGCAGTAACACTTCTTCGCCCATTAAGAGGAATTGTTGCAATATGACCCGCTTTTGACACAAATGTCGCGACCATCTTTTTCGAACGGATGACTTTTGTTGGCTTTTCTTCACCTTGCAACACCCAAACAGCCGACTGTCGTTTATTTTATGGTTCATAACAGTAAATCCACGATTCATTACCACTACACATTTTTTGAGTTTCCGGAATTTAAACGGTCAAGCGTTTTTTGACACCAATTAACCCTGGCTGCTTTCAGCTCTTCAGTCAACAGGTGGGGTATCCAACGAGAAACTAATTTTTTTACTCCTAATTCTTCACGTACATTTTTTTGAATTGAGGTCTTTGAGATCTTTAAGGACGCCTCAATCTCGCGATATGTCACATGTCTATCTTCAATGATGAGTTTGCGTACAGCATCGACGTTTTCCTGGATGATTGCCGTTTTTGGTGCACCCACCCTGGGATCGTCGCTAAGACTCACCCGTCTACGTTTCAATTCTCCATACCAACAGGAAATTGTCGACTGATGTCGCTTCGTTGCCGAAAACAGACAGTAACTCAGCAAGACATTCTTGTTGCGATAATTGCCTCTGAAAGTTGTAATAAATTATGGCGCGAAAATGTTCTCGGTTGAGTTCCATTTTTCTAATGACTTGGTGACACTTAAAAATTCACTGTATTGAGAACACTGCACGTATCGTTGTGAAACTTTGAATTTAAGTTTACTAAAGAGTGAGGTTAAGATTCAGTACTGACGTTCGATCCGCGCGGCCTACTACGTTTCTATATGCAAAACTTAAAAGACATCCCTCGTATAGAAGTGCCAGCATTTAATAATAAACTTTATTTTTTGTTTCAGGTCACCCCTAAAACTGAAAAACTAGTCCTTAGGACCACCCGCAAAGTCCCACGATTGGGCGTAATGCTTGTCGGTTGGGGTGGAAACAACGGATCCACGTTCACCGCTGCTGTCATCGCCAATCGCCTAGGCCTTTCATGGCCAACTAAAAAAGGGGTGCAAAAAGCCAACTGGTTTGGTAAGTATAATATTACAGATGGTTTACCATCAAAAATTGCAGATTGAGTTATTTTTCTGCAAATACACAACGTAGCAAATACCGTTTGGTGGGGCACCCCCATAACTTTGTTATTATTGAAGATAGAAAAACGAAACTTGGGGGTTGCGTATTATAGATGAATTTACATTTTTTGATACATTCACTTGCATTGACGTACTTCCGGCTTGACCGAGCATGACCCCAACTTTTGATTTTTAAATGGGACACTCTACAGGGTGGCGCATCAAAAACGAAACAGACGCATTTACTGGCAGCTCAGCTTTTTTTTAAAAATGCTCAGACCCGTCGATTTTGTTTTAAGTCTAATTTAAGCTTTAAATCGATAAATTCTCAAAACTACTGAACTGAAGTACATTAATTTTATATCATTATAAAGGGCATTGAAAGACCCTTAAAACAAGGTATCACTCGACCCCCCTTTCCATTTAAGATTTTAGGGTTGGTGTCACCCCCGCCCAGGGAGATGCACGTGTTAACGTGATTTTTTCCAAACTTGTGTCCCCCTCGAAAACAAAATCGACGGGTCCGAGCGTTTTTCCAAAAAAAAACTGAGCTGCCAGTAAATGCGTCTGTTTCGTTTTCGATGCGCCACCCTGTACATATTTTTGCTTATTTGGATCAAGAATGAACTCAACAACGCATCACTTGTGATTATGATTTTAATTTTTATTTTTCGATCTAGAATGCCATGGATCCCGTAAATCGCTTCATTTTTTATCAAGTAACACGGGAAAAATAAAATTTTGAGGCGATGGACCTTGCAGACGTTTTAGAGATTTTCTAAAAGTTACAAACATTAATTTTTCAGTTTACTTGATTTTTTCAAATAGATAGGGTTTAGCTCGTCGGCTTTTTCTAAGAGACCTTTTTGTTACGAATAATTTGGCACTACACGCTCTTATACTAAGTGACATATAAATCCGAACACCCAGTTTAAATGGTTTTATTTTAATAAAAGTTGGTGAATGTATTTATCTTACTGTAAATAACAAGTGAAAAAATTTTCACCCTTATCAGTTGGACATTCCGGTTTTTATACTGCTTTTTTTTAATTCACTAACGCTCTAAAAATGAATATTTCAGCCGCAGTAAAGAATCAACGTTGGCGGATTTTGGTTCTTGACATCCTTTACCATCGGCTACGATGCATAGAGTACGGAGACCTGTACGATTTCGTCAACTTAGTGAGTTTGATAGGGGCCGTATAGTGGGACTTCGGGAAGCTGGACTTTCTTTTCGGGCAATTGCAGTTAGAGTGCAAAGAAGTGTAGACACTGTGGTTAGGTGTTGTCAGGCATGACTTCGAGAAACCGTACGCAAAGAGCAAGGGGCACTGGACGCCGCCGTAGAACAACAGACCGTGAAGATCGCCGCCTAAGATTATTGGCCTTAAGGGACCGTTTCTCCACTACCAGGTCCATTGCAAATGAATGGTTTGCAGAACACGGAAGACCTATTGGCATGCGGAGTGTTTACCGACGAATGAGAAGTTTTGGGTTGTTTTCATACCGGCCACACTGGGTCCTCCCTTTAACTCGAGAACACCGACGTAATCGCCTTGAGTGGTGCAGACAACGGTCACTCTGGGATCAGGAATGGAACAGTATTGTCTTTAGTGACGAGTCTCGATTTTGTTTAGGTATGCACGATGGTCGTGCCAGGGTTAGAAGGCGACGTGGTGAAAGGAGGAATCCACAGTTTTTTGTTGAAAGACATGTTGATCACACTGTTAGAGTTATGGTTTGGGGTGCTATAGCTTATGGTTCCAGGTCACCTTCAATCTTCATCAGAGGTAACATGAACGAGTAGCGTTATATCCACGAAGTTCTAGAACCCCATCTTTTACCCTATCTTGACACCCTGGCAGATCCAACTTTCCAACAACATAATGCCCGACCACATGTTGCAAGAGTCACAATAGACTTCTTTCAACATAATGATGTCACATTGTTACCATGGCCACCAAGATCTCCTGACTTATCCCCAATTGAGCACGTGTGGGATATGATGGGTAGGAGATTGCTCAATTTGCAACGTCCTCCTCAGACTCTAGAAGCACTTCGAGAGGAGTTGGTGGTTGCCTGGAATGAGATACCACAGGAGGACATTGACCACCTGATCAGAAGCATGCCTAGGCGCGTTGGAGAATGCGTAGCACATTAGGGTGCATCCACACATTATTAAAGGTCAAAGGGCTTTAAAGCAGTGCAATCATTTTGAAATTTTTATCATTTTATCATTAAGTACTTATAAAAATTTTTATTAAAATAAAACCATTTAAACTGGGTGTTCGGATTTATATGTCACTTAGTATATTTTATTTATACTATTTTTCTGAATAATTGTAAGAAACGATGATACATAACAACGAATAGTACGTATCTGAATTCGATATATCTATGCACTAAGTCCTATTATTCTAGTTATCCGTGACAACCGATTGAAGGTAAATACAAAATGTGCAACGAACCAGAAGAAAATGTTAACTTTATCGTCAGTGAAGTTGGAGTAAACTATACAAATGAATTAAATACATATCCTATCATTATTATAAAAACAATAAAAAATGTGTCATTAAGGTTCTAGATGTTCAAACTAGCCTCCTTCTTGATCACGGCAAAGTTCAACTCTATCAATTGTTGCTTGCACTATTTAGAATAACTGTTCCGCTTTACAGGATCCATGGCATTCTAGATCGAAAAATAAAAATTGAAATTATTTATACAAGGTGTTCCTTAATGATATGCGAATATTTAAGGGTGTCAATCTACATGAAAAATCAATATTAGTTTGCTTTATAAACTTTGGTCCAAAAATGTTTCCTTACAAAAACTCGGGTTGTGGAAGTTTTAGGAAAAAAATGGAAATTAATTAATATTTTCAGAACCGCTTCAGATATTTCACCGATATTTAGTAGGTAGTGAAAGTTAATAAAGTTGAATATTTTCCAAAGCAAAAATAAATTTTAGCTTTAACAGTGGCGTGCGTACGGGTATTGACTTCGATATTTTTTAAGAAAACAATGATACGCCAACGGTTTTTTGCCAAATAAAAATTATTTTTGAATTCCCGGTTCAATTTAAAACAAATGATCTTTCTTGAATTCTTTCCCTTTGATGCGCCATTTTTGAGTAAAAAAATAAAAACCGTTCTGTTGTCTTACTTACGAAATTATCAATTTAATTGGAAAAATTAAACACGTTAGGGGTAATGAACAACAACAACTGACATCGTAAACATAACATTAAAACCAACGAAATGATTACAAAAATTGTTGAAAATGGCCGCCTTCATGCTTCCGCCCTTCTCATGGAATTGCGCACTCGTTGAAATATCCCTGGAGTGTTTTTTATTCTATCACAGGCTGCAACTATTCTTCCTCTACAGTGAAAATGGGACTTGTGTACACTAGTGATAGCCCCACAAAAAGAAATCTAATCGCTTGAGACCTGGGGACCTTGGTGGCCATTCCTGGGGCCCACCGCGGCCAATCCAACGATTTGGATAACCAGTTTGTAAATAATTACGAACCGCTACACTGAAATGCGCTGTACAGGGTGTCCCGTTTAAAAATCGAAAGCTGGACTTGTTCCCGGTCAAACCGACAGTACTTCAAAGCAAGTGAATATGTCAAAAAAAATGTAAATCCATATATGATACGCAATCCCCAAATTTCGTTTTCCTGTCTTCAATACTAAAAAAGTTTTAGGGGTGAGCCACCTTGGAGAATCACCCCTAGCTTTCCTTTAGTGATGGATTGTTATAAAATCGTGTAAATTTCCGATAAATAATTGCAGTAAATATTTTTTTGCAAAACTCTCTCGGAAACATAGTTTGAAAATGCTCAAATTATAAAATTTTCTACCATAGGTTATGAAGGCTTTTGTCTCTGCATATACGAGCCACTTCCCACTTCAGTTGGCCCATTTCAAGATTTGAACCAAAATATGCCTTTATAAACTAAACATGACGAAACTATTTACTTCTAAAACAATTTATTTTCTCAAAAACATTTTAGATACACTCTAGTCGTAAAAAATACATATTTGAAATCACTTAGACCTATAACTAATAGAACATCTGAACAAATAAACAATGTGCGAATAAATGCGCGAAGTTAACAAAGCAACAATTGAAAGATTACCATTGGGTAACATCACCTTTATTTTTTATTACGGCTGAAATTCTTTGGGGCATAGTGTTAACCAAGTTTTGGCAAAAATTTGGTGTAAAACAATCCCATATTTCTTGAAGCTTTTGTCTCAGTTCGGTGATTGTACGAGCAGGACGTTGTCGTAGAACCTTTTTCATCTCGTGCCACAAAGTTTCAATAGGTGACAGATCTGGAAACCCATTTCAAAAGTGGTACATTATTTTCTTCCATCCATAGCCTTTTTGAGGTATGGCACGCTGCACCATCTTGCTGAAACACAAAATCTTGGCCGGATGTCAAACATTCTTCCATCACTGGTAAAAGCGATTCTTCTAAAATTGTCAAATATTTGTTTGTATCCACATTTCCATCAATAAAATGAAGTTTTCCTACTCCTTTTGGTGACATACTGCCCCAGACCATAATGGATGCTGGAAATTTCACTTTTCTCTTCAGACAGTCAACATGGAATGCTTCATTTTTTTTGCGAGTAACTCTACTGCGACTGTCACCAACACAAACTTCGAATCGGACCTCATCACTCCATTGTATTGCATACCACTGTTGAGATGTCCATTGTCTATGTCCTTTAGCCCATCTAAGCCCATTTTTCTTTTGCAGTGAAGTTAATAGTGGCTTTTCTTTGGCCTATAAACAAGTTGTGCAACTTTAGAGTTGTTACTTCACTTGTTTTTATAAGAAAACTTACCTTGCAAGTGCTAAATCCCAGTTTGTGGGCCTCTCTATGAGTTGTGAACCTCAAAATTCTCCTTCCAACAGTGTCACTCCATAGAGCACTTAATTGTAAATAATTTGCACGACTGTTTTTCACGATTATTCTTCTTAATGCTCTTCGGTCGGCATTTGTGATATTACTTTTTTTCACATATCGTGGCTTAATATTAACTGAACCAGTTACGTTATATCTTCTAACAATATTTCACACACTGTACCGCGGTAAGTCTAACAAAGTTGCAATTTCTGAGTTTGATTTCCCACAATTAAAAAATTTAATTATCAGTAACCGAATTTTCTCACTAATAACATTTCCTCTACCCATTTTGAAAACCTTAACTATCCAAAACTATTTTAAACGTATTCTGACAGCTGTGATTAATAAAAACAATTGTCATGGCTTTTATTTTTCACAGCCACCTATGCGTTGTAGACTTATTTTGCAATGAAATGAAAATAGGTGTTGATATGCTGTAATTGTGTTGTTTTTATGCTGCAAATTTGATTAGTTAGTGATAAAGTTGGTGTTTCCTACTATATATTATCAAAATATTCATTGTTAATATTTTAAACCTATAACACCCTGCTACATTTTTATTATTTGTGTTTGATAAGAAAAAAACTAAGATTTCAATAGTTGGGCCAACTGAAGTGGGAAGGGACTCGTATAGCATAATTTTTTTTCCAGGATCTTTAACCCAAGCATCTACAGTTCGTCTAGGGGACAATGTTCACGTCCCATTCTGTAACCTCTTGCCCATGGTGCATCCCGATGACATTGTCATCGATGGATGGGACATTAGCTCTAGGACGTTGGCTGAAGCCATGGAACGTGCCCAGGTTCTGGAACCCGCACTTCAGGAACAACTGAAACCTCATATGCGCAACATGAAGCCTCGACCATCTATGTACTTCCCTGATTACATCGCGGCTAACCAGGTAGGTCAAAAAATTACTTCATGATATAACAAGTGGTCATCTCCTCTCGTTCATAAAATCCTATCTATCTGAGAGAGTCACATACCTAATACACAACGGCTTCAGATCTAATAGTTATACGATTGTGTCCCTCAAGGGTCGGTGATGGGGCCATTGATTTTCATTGTGTTTATAAATGATATAGACAAGTAATTAGATATCCAGTTTCTCCTTATATGCTGACGATCTCAATCTTGAGCTGTTGTTGCAAAAATAACTTACATTTAAGTGTAATGTGGTCAGTTATACCAACAAACCTCAAGCAATCGTATTTGGTTATAATATTGGTGGTACGCCTGTCAATCGCATAAGCCAAGTCAAGGATTTAGGTGTGATTTTTTATAGTAAGTATTGTTTCAATGGTCATATGGGGACAATTGTTGCTGAGTGTTTCAACAGATTGGACTTGAATTGAAACTGTCAAGCGTTTTTTGACACCAATTAATCCTGGCTGTTTTCTGCTATTCAGTCAACAGGTGGGGTATCCAACGAGAAACGAATTAACTTGCTCCTAATTCTTCATGTAATTTTTTTTGAATTGAGGTCTTTGAGATCTTCAAGGACGCCTCAATCTCGCGATATGTCACATGTCTATCTTCGATGATGAGTTTGCGCACAGCATCGACGTTTTCCTGGGTGACTGCCGTTTTTGGTGCACCCACCCTGGGATCGTCGCTAAGACTCACCCGTCCACGTTTGAATTCTCCATACCAATAGGAAATTGTCGACTGATGTGACGCTTTGTTACCGGAAACAGACAGTAACTCGGCAAGGCATTCTTGTTGCGATAATTGTCTCTGAAAGTTGTAATAAATTATGGCGCAAAAATGTTCCATTTTTCTAATGACTTGGTGACACTTAAAAATTCACTGTAGTGAGAACACTGCACGTATTGCTGTGAAACATTGAATTTAAGTTTACTAAAGAGTGAGGTTAAGATTCAGTACTGACGTTCGATCCGCGCGGCCTACTATGTTTCTATATGCAAAACTTAAAAGACATCCCTCGTATTGCATAAATTTAATTTTCTTGTTCCACGTTTAAATTCTAGACAATTTGATACTTTTTATTTGCCTACCCCTAGAACAAACATCTTAAACTTTTCTCCACTATTTTACTCTTGTGGTAGGGCTAATGACGTTGCAGAACAATTGAATATATCTGAGAGGTTTTGTCTGTTTTTTTTTTGCTTTCTTATCTGCACTATGATATCTGTAAAGTACCTAGTCTTGTTTGTTTTTTTTTGTAGTCCGGACTGTGTTGCTGTATGAATAAATAAATAAGTAGTCCTGGAATAATTGCCATCGTAAGGCAAAACAGCATTCAGGATCAAAAATACCAAAAAGAAGCCAATCTTTCAACATCACAAGACAATATTTTTCGAAAAGTCTCTTCAATTTATGCAATATCAGAACTATGTAAGGATAGGGTTGCAAAGTATATTGAATAAACGATGTCATATATTTAAAAAAGCAGAATAAAATACAACAATAAAATATGAGGAGGAAATAAATAAACAGCAATTACCCGTAACTTTTCAGCTACAGGGTGCTAAAATTTTAGTTGAGTGAGTCCTCCACAAATGGATCTCCGGTAGACTTCAAAAAATGCCTATTGGTGCTTATACTATAACTATCTAAAACTGTAATGACTTATCGATGTTCACGTGAACATCACTTAACTACCAGTAGTCGGCTGTTCATAGGCGGGGTATGAATGTTTAACATGGGCGAACTAGATTTGTCACATGCTTAATAAATAGTGGTTTGAAACATATTGTAAGTCAAAAATTTGAGAATTACCTTTATTCATCGTCGCTTCCACTTACATCTGACAGTAATAAACTGCCGCTATCGCTTTCCTCGTTGAAATTGACTATAACAGGCTCTATGATGGTGTCGATGTGGTGGTCAAGCTGCCACATTTTTGTTTCTTCCTTCACAACATGACGGATAGCATTCTGCCAAGCTTCGGGCGTTACTAGCTGTATGGAAGACTCAAGTAAAACCTTAACGTCTGGTAATTTGAAGGTTGTGTTATGGCGCGCAATACCTATAACGCTTCACTTGAGCCCAGATGAGCTCTATTGGGTTCAGTTCACAGTGGTAGGGCGGTAACCGCAGCACAGTGACACCACATTGACGGGCCATCTCATCAGTCACGTAACTAATGTTCGCAGGTTTGTGCTGTTTAATTTTTTCATACAATTCCGTTTTCACACATGAATCGTGAAACGGGATTCCTTTTTCGCGCAACCATTGCTGCATGTCACTTTTTCGAGATCCCATAGTCGGTACACGTTCGGCTCGACGACTATGGTAGGAAGCATTATCCATGACGATCACAGAGTTGGGCTCAACTCGCTGAAGCACCCCTTGAAACCAGCTCTCGAAGCAGCTGGCATTCATTTCGTCATGGTAATCACCTCCTTTCTTAGAGACGAAAATCAAGTCACACTCTTCTAAAAAGCCACTATCGCTACCAATATGAGTTACGATCAATCTTTGACCTTTCCCTGACGGTCCACGAAGACCTGTTGACAAACCTTCAATGCGTGCTTGACGGTTACTCAGTACGTTTTTGTCTATCCAGGTTTTTTTAACTGTGTGACCTGCATTTACCCATGTCTCGTCCAAATAATAGATTTTTCTGCTTTGTCGCCTATATTCAATCATTTCGCGTAGGTATTTTCGACGCCAGGCGACTATTTCAGGTCTCTCTATCAATACTGACTTCCGATTACGCGTTTCGTAACGAAAATTAATTTCGTGCAGGGATTTCCTCATTACCTCGACGCTCATTTGGGGTATAATTTCATTTTCCGTGATCGCTGCATGTACAGCCTTGAGGGCTGGTATCTCATTCCTAAAGAAGAATGAATGTACGGTTCGCCTTAACGCCATTTTGCTATCGTCATCCAATTTAACGGCCTTTCGTCCCTTCAAATTAAACTTTGGATCAGTAGTAGCTCCAGTTTTCTTCTTTTCATGCGCCACCCTGCGAATGGTCCACTCTGGAACGCCTGTCATACTTTCACAATGCGCGAGTGCATCTCCCTGCTACATAGTTCTGCTCAGATAATTGAACACGTTGAGCACGATTTCTTTCGCGTCCCTCTTCAGTGCTTTACGAAGCCGTCTACTTGTTCCCTGGCTTTCAGTACTTCCACTCGTACCATTTGTACTCTCCATGGTTAAGTATAACCAAAACAGTAACCACAACAATAACAATCACACAACAATTCTTATAAAAACACACAATATGCGATCGCTCAACGAAACACGTTCCAATGCGTTGCCGACGCCTATGAGTCTGCCGGTCGAGGCGCGTCCTTGATTTCATTGGTTCTACCGGCGGAGAACAATCAGCCATTATTTCCATCTCTCTCTGTGCTGTTGACCACCGCAAAGCCACAGAAACGACATATGTCGTACGCTATACGGCTGTACTGGAAGGAAGCCGGGATCGAGCTCTGATCACGTGTTAATCACGCGTATGAGTCATTATCGTTTTAAATAGTTGTAGTATAGTAGATGCATGTCAAATTTAATGAAAATATCTAGAACAGTATTAAAATTATACGACAACGAATTTTTTCTTACGCTTAGGACATAATATGTTCATATAAACTTTTCTGCCTAAAATCAGCTAAGGAATCATATCCTGTATTTTTAACCGTCAATTAAATTCTCTCTGTATAAAAATTGAATACTAATAATGTCATTTTGTCTTGTACACAACGGTACTTTAGATTGAAGAATGAAATTATCGCTTTACAACCATCACATAAATTCTTTTTGTTTCAGAAAAGCCGAGCTGACAACGTCCTCGTGGGTTCGAAACTGGAGCAAGTGGAAAAGATCAAAATGGACATTGAACAGTTCAAAAAGCAATCGAACGTGGACACTGTCATCGTGCTGTGGACCGCAAACACTGAATGTTTCAGCACGGTCATGGAAGGCGTCAACGACACATACGAAAGCATCAAGAAAGCCATCGTTCAAGACCACTCTGGATTGTCTCCTTCAACTCTGTTCGCTTATGCCTCCATTGCCTGTGGGTGCACTTACATCAATGGTTCTCCCCAAAACACATTTGTACCTGGCATTATAGGTAAGATAAAATAGTTAGACACGTATTTATTGTTCATCTGACATACAAAATTAGTTAAAGAGCCAAACCTATTATCACTGGACAACAAATTTTAGTTTTTTAATTGTATCTTGTGGGAAAAGTGCACTTCTTTGTTAATTTTGGGGCGCTGAATCCAAAAATGACAATGAAATAAAAAAATTAGTTGCGGTTTAGAAAAAAAACTATTTATTTTTAAGGATGTATTAAAAAAAGTAACAAGATTCATATACTTATAAGAATCACTATACTTTTTGCTGTTCTTTTATGGATCGTTTCTGGAGCATCTCTACCAAGAGTCCAACAGTAGTCTGCAAGCATGGAAGGATTCCACTTTCCCTGGTACCTTTTTTCCATTGTTGAAATATCCTGATGAAAACGTTCGCCGTGCTCATCACTTACGGCTCCGCAATTGTCAGGAAAAAAGTCCAGGTGTGAGTGTAGAAAATGTATCTTAAGAGACATATTACAGCCCATCTTTTGATACGATGACAGCATATTTTTGACAAGGGTTTTATAGTTGTCAGCTTTTCTATTTCCCAAGAAATTAGTGACCACCAGATGGAAATCATTCCAAGCAGTTTTTTCAATACCTGTTAAAGTGTTTTCAAACTGTTTATCTTTCAAAATATTTCGAATCTGTGGCCCAACAAAAATACCTTCTTTAACCTTTGCCTCACTTAGTCTTGGAAATTTCTGACGCAGGTATTGAAAAGCTGACCCATCTCTATCTAATGCCTTGACAAAGTTTTTCATTAGGCCCAACTTGATATGCAGTGGTGGTGATAAAATTTTTTTCGAATCTACTAATGGCATATGCTGTACATTTTTTTTGACCTGGCTCTAGGAGTTGACGAACAGGCCAGTTTTGTCTGGTGTAATGAAGTGCCTTTGCCCGACTGTCCCATTCACACAAAAAACAGCAAAACTTTGTGTAGCCTAGCTGCAGCCCAAGTAAAAGTGCAACAACTTTCAAATCGCCACAAATATGCCACTGGTGCTCATCGTATTTTATGCATGTCAATAAGTACTTCATATTGTCATATGATTCTTTCATGTGAATTGCATACCCTACAGGAAGAGATGGTAAAATATTTCCAATATGCAATAACACTGCCTTTAAACTCAATGTTGAACTGTCTATAAACAATCTCCATTCTTCTGGGTTATAGTTTATATTTAAAGCCGCCAGTAAGCCGTTAATGTCACTGCAGAAAACCAAGTTATTCTCCATAATGAAAAATGGTTCTAAGTCTTTGTGGCGTTTACGAAAAACACATACCGAAACATCGTCTTCTAACAAGTTCCACTGCTGCAGTCTTGATCCAAGTAACTCTGAGACCTAGTTTACAACCGAAATAAAGCTGATATGCCTTTGTTATTAGTGGAGTAATAGTCCGTCTCTGAGACGCAAAAGTCACATCACCACACACGTAACAAAACTGATCTGGATTGTTTACACACTTTCGAGACATCTTGCATGAACGCTGTCAGCCAACTGAGGAAAAAATGGCTAATATAAAACAACATTATGTACACGTATGTATAACGTAATACAATCATGCCGATTACATCATCTTTCTTTGCCGAATATAAACATGTAGCACGTGCATTCTTGTGAATTACAGTATATTAACACTGTCATAGCAGGAACAGATATAATTACCGAATCTCTAAAACTTGAACTAATATTGAAAAAATAAGTTTCATTCCGGTTTTAGCACATTAAAAATAGTAATATTTTGTTGATTTTATTTAGGATATTTTTTGGCTGTTGATCAGTGATAAAGATCAGATAAGAATATTCAATATTGTTATTTACAAAGTATTGTATTACGTTTAAAAAGTCAACTTACTTGACGTCACTTCGTTTATAAGCAGTGCGTACTAAACAGAAGTGGTCAGGGTGAGACTAATACCGAACATTTTGCCTAATTTTTCAGACGGTCAGTTCGCTATAATTGGTTCATATTTGTCTACTGTTTTTTTCGTTTTCTCGAGTTTATCTTCCAACATTTTGAACTCGCAGTCGATTTAATCGTACGAGATTTTGAAGACATGTACTATACTCAGTGAGATTTGAAGTGTTACACCTAGAAAAAATAATTTATTTAACTTCATTTTTTGGCAATGAGGGGCCGTTCAAGTATTGCGCGAGCACTATAGGGGGCGGGGGGGTCTTTGCTTTGCTTATTTCGGATAACATGGGGGGCAGAGGAGTCTAGATGATGATTACGTCATCGGTAGTTATTTACTTTTTACACGAATGGAAACCCTCTCATTGTCTTTGCTTGAAAACGAAACGCATTTTCGGGGATTCCCGCAAATAATGCATACGTTTAGTGAACAGCGCTCGGTAATTCCCCTACTCGCTTTAGAACCGAGTAGGGGAATTACCGCGCGGTGTTCACTTGTCTAAATTTCCTCTATCAGTGTATTTTTTCGTTTGGATAGACGTATTGTAAGCATAGTAAAGCAAGTTAACATTTGGGTTACCATTGATTCCATTAGCCAAAGTTTAATGTTTAAATAAGATGTCGTTTCACATAGACAAATGCAAGTTATACCAAAAATTGTTTGAAAGTTTTAAAAAATCTCATACAAGTATAAAAGTACAAAATGTACAAAAGTTAGTTAACGAAGTGTGGCGAAATTACAAATTACAAGCAAAATCCGTCAAGGAACTAGATATTATTGTATTTAAGAGAATCGAAGAAGAATTGCAAGCGGCGACTAAGAATAAATCCAATCTACTAATTTTTTTTTCTAAGGTGAGTGACGAAATCATTTTAGGTACCTATGAGTACTAGAAATATTAGAAATCGCCAAAAAGTTTCTCTTTACTGATTAGAAAATATTATGGCATATCTCAAAGTATACAGGTAATATTCATTATATTATAGATTTATTTCTGATGATTAATTCCGTCAATTGGTCACAAAGTACAGAATGTTAGTTTTATACATATATACAAAAAACTAACACCCTGTATTTTGTGACCGGAACGAATTGCTCGTTTAAACATATTAGATTTAAAGCCATAGGGTTTTGTATTTACCATATATATTGCCATACTTTGTATTTATGTAGCTTAATAAGAGAATCTTTAGCAGCAGCCATAGAAAGTTTTTATTTTTAGGCAACTTGTAAACCTGCAGAAAAAACACGAATTATACAGTCAGCTTAAAATATTAAAAAAGAAAAACAAGATAAAATAAAACCCGGTAATGAATCACACAGCAATGCGAAATTAATGAAAATACAGATAAACAGAGAGCAAAACCTTCTCAGGAAGCTATGAAAATGAGATTGCTCTACTCGAAAAAATCTGAATGCTTTGTATTCTGCCAGAAATACTATGCCAAGCCGTGCTGAAGTTGATGAACAGATCATTAAGTTGCGCGAGGAAATAAAAACAGCAAAACAATATTTAAACAGGAAGGTTCAAAACGCAGTTGCCCAGAAGAAACACAGGGATGGTATGAAAAGAAAGTTAGAAGATATTTGTCATGAAAATCCAGAAATAAAAAAAAGACTATCTCTGAGGGATTCAGTGGAACGTCCTAATCTTGAAAGCAATCAACATTCACTATTGAAAACAATCGCGGATAGAGCTTTATTTGGGAGTGCAGCAGATGATAGAAGACGAACGGAATCAATTCGCAGCGTAAAAACTCTTGATGAACTCACACAAGAATTACGTAAAATAGGATTTGACATTAGTCGCAGTGGGACATATCTTCGTTTGATTCCCAGAAAATCTAATTCTGCAGATAGACGAAGACATGTATCGACAGTCCCTGTTAAGCTCATTAGGGCTCAAACTGATCACCACAAGAGCCACTTAGATAGCAGATTCGCTGAAACATCAATCCATTATTTAGAGAACATAGCATCCATACTTGGACCAGATCAAGTATTTTTCATATCTCAAGATGATAAAGCTCGAGTACCTATTGGCGTAACTGCAAGCACCTCTTCTAATGCACATGGAATATAGAATCAAATTGCCTGATCACGATTGGGTAATCGCCGAGCGTCATAAATTAATACCATCTGTTTATGCTGGTATCAAAATCAGTTCCAATATGCTAGGACAACCGCAAGCCGTTGGATATTCTGGACCAACATACATCGCTATTCGAAGTGGAAAGCATAGTTCATCTACTGCTAATACTCGTGATCAGGATTTCGAGACGCTTCTCGAACTTGAAGAGTTTCGACCATTAGCTAAAACTGACCATGGACTAGTAAAACCAGTGGTAATCATGACGGTTGATGGAGGGCCAGATGAAAATCCACGTTATCAAAAAGTCATAGGGTTTCCTATACAACACTTTAAGCGACATGATCTCGATGCATCGGTTTTAGCTACCAATGCTCCTGAAAGAAGTGCGTATAACAGAGTAGAGCGCAGAATGGCTCCTCTTAGTCGGGAACTGGCTGGTTCAATATTGCCTCATGACCATTTTGGGTCTCATTTGGATGAACGTGGCGTTACAATTGATGAACATTTAGAAAGATCTAATTTCGAATTTGCAGGAAATGTATTAGCTGAAGTATGGAGTTCAATGGAAATTGATGGCTATAATGTTAATGCAAAATATGTTGGGGCAGGTGAACAAGATCTTCCTGATTTTCCAGACATTAAATGGTATTCAGAACATGTGCGTGGGAGCCAATACTTGCTTCAAATTGTAAAATGTAGAAATTTTAGAATGATTACTAGATTACTAGACAATAGGTTTCTTCCACCATCTGTAAAAGTAAAACAAACAGTTGATGACTTGGTTTTGGATGAAGGAGGGCAATTTCTTAATCTTCCAGTCAATTTAGCTCTAAGCTTAAGTGCTTCACTCAAAGATTTCCTGCAAATGCCCTACGATTATTTTTGTCCGACTGTAAAATTGAGGCTATCAAGTCGAACATGGAAAACGTGTGGTCTTTATCATGCTTCCGTCAAGTCACTAAATCGTCACATCGAAAATATCCATAAAAAAGTAAACACGCACACTGATAAGAAAGTTAGACCTGTAAGAGTCGCTGCTCGTCGTGCTAATGAACTGATGAGCATTATTCAAAATTTAGAGCACCATGATGTTAAATGGCTCGATGAGAACGACGTAGACATTCCAAAATCCGATGAAAGCGAGCAAACTCAACACTGAGCAGCAATCGAAGCAATCCAATGTCATCGAAAACATAGAATCATGGATTCGGGTTTCATGGACTGAAGACTGTTAATTTGAATTTAATATATGTACCAAAAATTTAAAATAAGTTTACTATGTTAGTAAGATATAATATTTTTGTCCTTTACTCTATGTTGAATGCGGTATCAGTAAAATATAATCTCTATCGTAAATCTATTTTCTTATTTTTCAAATTATAATTATAACGTTATAATTATAATATTAAAAAAATACATTAATTGACAAATGTTTAGGTAAGCAAGGGGGGAGGGGGTAAGAGCTTTGCTTACTTTTGCTGACCAGGGGGATGGGGAAGTAAATAATTGTAATAAATCTGCTTACGTAATACTTGAACGGCCCCTGAGGAAGTCATACATAAAGAATGAAACGATAAAATTCCCACGAAATTTTATTGACAAATAATAAGAAAAAAATTATATGCGCGATATGACGCGTACTAGCAACCAAGCTTTACAATTATTTCGGGGAAATTTGCTAATACGATTAGACTTACTGACGGACTAAATACTGTCATTTATTTACAGAATTCGCCGAAAGGCAAGGAGTTTTCATTGCTGGAGACGACTTCAAATCAGGTCAAACCAAAATCAAGAGTGTCTTGGTAGACTTTTTGGTCGGTGCCGGAATCAAACCTGTAAGCATTGTAAGCTACAACCATCTCGGAAACAACGATGGCAAGAACCTGTCGGCACCAAAGCAATTCAGATCCAAAGAGGTGAGATTTTACATTTTCTGGTCTAATCATAATTTTGAAAACTGCATAATATATTCATTCGTACGTACATAGCGAACTTGATAAATGAATCGGGAGAATTTTCAGATGATTATAAAGTAGGAGTAGTAAAACCCATCCACAAATCCTGTGAAAAAACAGATACTAACAATTACAGGTCTATAACTCTAATATCCAGCTTTGCAAAAATTATTGACAAAATTATAAAAACACGACTTCTTAATTTTTTTGATAAACATAATCTGATTAATGAAAAACAATTTGGATTCCAGAAAAACAAGTCTACCCAAGACGCAATTTCTTTTTTGACATCAAAATTATACAAATTACTGGACCAAAGTGAATATACCCTGTGTGTGTTTTTAGATCTAGCAAAAGCATTCGACACAGTAAACCACTTGCTTGTATAAGAAATCTCACACGACTCAGGAATTAGAGGCAAGGCTTATAACCTCATGAAAAGTTACCTTTCCAACAGAACACAGTGCGTACAAATAAATAATTCCTTAAGCACAAACAAATTGATAACGTATGGTGTCCCACAAGGGACAGTGTTAGGCCCCTTATTATTTACACTTTACATTAATAGCCTGCTGAGCTTAAAACCTTAAAATGTTTTGCAGACGATACTGCTATCATTTATTCGAATAACAACTCGTGGGATGATCTAAAAGTGAAGGTTGAAAGAGACTTAACGATAATTGCAGACTGGTTCAGACATAAATGCCTAACTATTAACTTTCAGAAGACTAAGTTCATACCATTCACAAGTCACAGAAACAAATTACCATCCTTTGTATCTATACAGATTAACGGTGATAATATAAATAGTCAAATAAACTTAACAAACAAAATAGGTGTATAGTCAACGCCAAACAAAGTGGCGTGCACGTCATCAAGGTGGGTGTGTTGAAAAATTTACATTGTTGCCAAACTTTTTGTAAAATAATAAAATTTATTATTTACATATCTAGGTTTATAAGCAATATTAACCTCAAATGAGAACAAAAATAATAGTATAATAAAATTATAGATCTGTACTTGCATAATCATTAAGTATGACAATTATTGATCAGATGACACTATGAAACTACCATATTTAATTGATAGCTTAAAGGTACTGAATAAAAATCCAAATGGGGTCCTCCAAATTTTATGCATGGTATTTATTTTACAGAATTCATACAGAAAAATGCATTCTAAAATTAGGTAAGCTACTGGTGTAAGCTTTTTCTGTACAATAAAGTTAGTCGGAGTTTCTTTCTTCAGCGCTGTCTGAATCTGAATCTTCATCACTCTCAAAGTTGATTATTAAAGGTACGATGTCTGGTCGATCAAAAATTCGTTCTCTTTCATACCATTTAAAAATTTCTTGCTCAGTATGTCGAACACTATTTTTCCACATGTCTGGGGTAACCGTTTGTAGAGCCTCGTTCCACATATCCAAACAGTCTTTTTCACTGTTACCATCTCTACCAATATGTCTGTTATAGTAACCTTTTGCTATGCCCCAAATTAACTCAATAGGGTTAAATATACAATGGTAAGGAGGCAGACGAAGAACTTTGGCCCATGTTGTTCCGCCAATTCATCAATCACGTATATTTTAGGTGGTTTGTTTCTAAAAAAGCAGTTATTTTAAGAATAGGAATAAACAAAAGAAATATAAACTGTCGACCAAAATATATATAATTAAGAAGCATTATGTACCGAGCAACAATACTCAATAGCTCTGTTTTAAACATTGTGTTTAAAAATGGTATGTTTTGATTTGTCAACCAGTCTTGGATATTTTTTTTTGTCCATGCATTGTTGGGCACTTTGTTCAATATCATGCTGTGATAAGGGGCGTTATCCAGTATAATCATAGATGGACTCTCCAATTTTTCAAATAACTGATGTTGAAACCATTTCAAAAAATTGTCCTGGTTCATCTCTCCATGGTAATCGCTCAATTTTGTTTTCGAAGAAAATATCGCTTCACTACCCTCAATAAACCCATTTTCATTTCCAGCATGTAATATAATGTATCTAAAATATATTAGTTTTAAATTTTATAGTGCAAATTGTGTAAAAGTATATACCTTTTACCATCTGTTTTAATAGCTTTCACGCTTTTTTGGTTTCCATTTTGCCAAGAGCGACCTATGGTCCCATTTTGAAATATCCAAGTTTCATCGAGGAAGACAAACTGGTATAAGGCCTCAACCTTGGCTTGATTGTATTGCCTTAGAAATTCCACCCTTTTCAAAGCTATACTTGGTAGTTCCATGAGCCCTCGTCGCGGATTGTCCTTAAGCCACTTAAATCCAAGATCTCTAAGCAACCGCCTTAAAGACGTGGCACTACCATCAAATAATGCCCTATCTCTTAATCGAGACCATAAAGTTTGTATCGTAACTTGTTCTTCTGAAACCATGTGTAATATGACATTATAATTTAGTTAACAAATTAATGCAAATTTCTGATAAGTTATTATAATAAGATCTTACTTTTGTGATACATATTATAGATCACTTCTCGAATGGCACTTGTATCCAATGTCGCTGTGTTGGTTACACGTTTAATATAACTCCGCTTTTTCTTGGGCGATTCTAAATTTGCATCACTTTTCACACCCTCGGAAATACGACTAACTGTCCTTAAACTAATTTTTAAAGCAGCAGCAACACGCTACAAAAAATGAAATAAAATTTCACTATTATTAATATACATTACATATAATTATTAGTAACCTACCTCTTGAACAGCATTTAAAGGCAACAAAGGCCCGTTGTTGTCCCTTTCTTGCTCAAAGTAGTGCATTAACGAGGCCACGAGTTCCTTACACCGACTATTTAACTGTTTGGGCATCTTTATATACCAAAATTGCCTTTATCTACTCGTAAAATGAATAATTTTGTTTTGAAACAAACAGTTGTTGATTTACAGTATGCGGGGCCAAAGGATTTATAAAGATTTGAAATGCCACAAATTGATTCAGTGTCAAAATTAATACAAATGTCAGTTCCCAGTTTAAATAAGTTTCAAGGTGACAATGTGTCAACGCTGCGAAATCGCAAAACATTTTATTTCGCATAATGCGTCTAAATTTATCAGAAAGCAACTTATGTGATATTTTAATAACAATGTTTATATGACTATTAACCATAATAAGAGAGTAATGACCATTTTACAATTTATATATCACATTAATATGAAACTGCAATAGAGCAATTGTTTGTGATAGAAACCTAGGCATTAGGTCGGGGAATTTTTATCGTGATGACGTGCACGCCACTTTGTTTGGCGTTGACTATATATTTAGACTCACATGTAAAGTGAAATATACATATTGATCATGTAATAACAAATTTGAGACCAGTATTGTTGAAATTCAAGTATCTAAACAAATATTTGGTTAAAAAACAATGAAAATTTTATATCATGCTATGATCGAAAGTCGTATAAGTTACGCAATATTAGGTTGGGGTGGAGCACTTAATAACCAAATTAATAAATTAGAAATTATCCAAAAACAATTTTTAAAAATAATCTTTGGCAAACCACTCTTATATCCATCTGATCTGTTGTATTCTGAAGCAAAACTATTAGACCCTAGACAACAATTTTTTTATAAAATTATAAATTATCAATTTCACCATAGAAATAATCTTATTCCGTTAGATCACTTATATCAAACTATAAACAAAATCAACAACATTAAGCAAACGCCTTTCACCTCAAAAAGTATAGGTCAAAGATGTCTTACTTACATTTCCAGTAGATTATATAACATATTACCAAATTATATAAGAAATATTTCAAATAAAACAAAATTCAAAATTGAAACCAAAATATTTTTAATTGAAAAAAATCGACTTCAAATTGCAAACAAGATACGTATGGAAGAAATTTAAAATTAATGTAATAATAAAAACCCTCCAACGTTCATATACTCGTATACGTGTGAATGTATATGTGCATCTATTTATGTGTTTATTTATAAGAATATATATATATATATATATATATATAACTTGAGATGTGGTCATTGTCGTCTAGACCAGTTAGGTGAAAAATTAAAGCTTCCGCTTTTTGTTGGGTACTTCGACAAAATTTAAGCAAAGAGGACTCTTTATACTTTTTTCAATTCTCTCTAGCTTTCAATGGACTTTGCCATCATCATCAGGAGCTGCAATTACAATGATAACAGTAGCAACAAAAGTGTAAATTGAACTTAAATTGAATCAACTTACAGTAGTATGTGAGGATGTTGCTAATTGTTGTTTTCGTATAGGATGAGGGAAACGTCCAGTAATATGGTGAGAGCTGGATACATGGTACAATGGTTAAAATTATATAAAATATGGCAAGACAAAGGTTCATCTCACTCAATATTCCATGACCACCATTTTATGCAATCATCAAGTGGCTTCACGACGTAATGCTCTAATGTTTTCTAAATAATTTTTAATCTGTCTTTAACTTGTCTTGTCATATTTTATATAATTTTAACCATTGTACCATGTATCCAGCTCTCACCATATTACTGGACGTTTCCCTCATCCTATACGAAAACAACAATTAGCAACATCCTCACATACTACTGTAAGTTGATTCAATTTAAGTTCATTTTACACTTTTGTTGCTACTGTTATCATTGTAATTGCAGCTCCTGATGATGATGGCAAAGTCCATTGAAAGCTAGAGAGAATTAAAAAAAGTATAAAGAGTCCTCTTTGCTTAAATTTTGTCGAAGTACCCAACAAAAAGCCGAAGCTTTAATTTTTTTAACAGTGAGTAAATCTGATCAAAAGAAATGTTTTTTTCCTTTACCATTTTTCTGGTAAAATTAAAGTAACAAAGTTATAGCCCTTTGGAAGTTTGAGTACCGCCCTGTCTCAATAATAATATCATGTGCTCGTGTTTGGCAACAACGGATATAATCCGCCTTATCGGTTCATCGCATCGGAAACAAAAAAGCGAAAGAATTTGGAACGATGTTTTTACAATTATTTTATTCAGTTCAGTTATACATACAGTCAGTGTCAGTCCGTGTTCGCGTGTGAATAGTGTCTGTTGCGTGGCTCAAACGAAATAAAAAAGGGCACATGTTTATGCGGATCGGTTTCCCAATCGAGTGCAACCAACCCCTCGTGCCTTTGTTAATGTAGTACAACGGGCTCGTGAATCAGGTGACTTAAGACCTCACAGGGGACCTCACGATCAAATACAGGTCCGCACTGAAATACTTGTCGGGAGGATACTTTATAAAACAAGGTAAACATTTTTTTTTAATTTTTTTTTATTTTTACACACATATTTTGGTTTATCTTCCTTCTACAATCATTATCTGAAAATTAATGACTCAACTTCAAAGTCACCCTGTATATATGTATGTGTACCTGTATATTTGTGTAAAAATGTAAGTTAATACCCATGCACAAGAATTTATTCTTCTGTGGGTAAATTCAGTTTATTTACGTATACCTATGTTAGTTTTAGTTATATTTGTACGTCACGTGAATAAAATTATTATTCATGTGATTCAAATTTGTTATTATAAAAACTTGATATCAAAACAGTGAACTATTTCAAGACACTATGATCCATACTTACGTTTGTTATATTGAAATCTTATTATTTTTTTGGTCCTAATACTTATAATATAGTACCGCGTTTCCAGGGTCGTCCACGTTGCAGAAGAAATTCTAGTTTGGAATTTGAAATTTTTCAAAAACAACCTGTTACCATCTTCCATACTATACTGTACAATAATTCCGATCTTTGTTACAGATTTCAAAGAGTAACGTTGTGGACGACATGGTGGAATCAAACGAAATCCTGTTCAAACCAGGGGAAAAACCAGACCACGTGGTTGTCATCAAATATGTCCCATATGTTGGTAAGTCTTTCTAACATTAATATAAATATTAAATAAAGACATTGAAACTTCAATAGAGCTGTTAAATAATGATATGAAAAACGTAATAAATTGGTGAAATGTAAATAAACCTAAAACAAAAATATATGCTAATAGGAAAATCTTTAGATCAAAATACGAAAAATCTTACAATTAATCATGAAAAAATTGTGTCCATCGATTCATTTAAATATTTGGGCATATACATAGACAGTAAATTAAAATTTGAAGGGCACTATGAATGTATTATTTCAACAATATTCAAGAAAATAAAATACTTTTATAGAATAACGCATAGCCTAAGCGTTTATTCTAAAAAAATTGTGTACAACACTATCACTCTTCCTCATTTGTTATATTGTTCGACTATTTTGTTCACTTGAAATGAAACTGTATTTCCAAGTTACAAATATTACAAAATACAGCTATGAGAATCATCTTAAATAAAAATAAATATACTAGAATAAATTTTATGCTGAAAGAACTACAATGGTTAAATATAAAAAATTTCATAGCCTAATTGGTTTTCATTTTCATATTCAAGTTGAAAAATCATCTTCTACCAAATCACTTAGAAAATTTTATTGTATTGAACAATGCCACAATTATTCTACTAGACGAAGTATAGACTGTACGAATTTAATAAATTAAGTAATGATATCAAGATGTGTGTCAAATGAAAATGTTCAAAGGGAAATTGAAAAAATATCTCATGGAAAACCAGAATTCATAGTAGTGAAATTTTGTATAAAAATATGTGGTCTTGAAGACATAATATATTTTGTGATATACTGTGTAATATGGATATTATAGACATTGTAGCATTAATGCTAAATAAATCTGAAACAAACAAACTTTGGAGAAACTTGTTTTAAGTTTCACTGATAAAAATTCTATAGGACACGCCGAACTGGAGTATCAGCTTTAAATGAGAGCTTCCGTACTTCGTTATCATAATGAGGAAAATGAAATAAGTCACCGTGAAAACACTAGTAGTTCTACATGATATTCACTGAAATATGCATTATACCACAATTGAAATTATGGTTAATTGCAAGGTCTTTTGTAATGGTTTGGGTGATATTGTTAGCATAGCAACCGATAAAAAATAACAATGTCTAGTAATTGGAAGCTATTGATACTAATGCATTCGCAAAACCACTAATTGCCAATTCATCAAAAATATCTATATACAGGCAACTGAACCGTGAATGCGTATTTACGTCCAACATGAATAATAGCCAATTCATCATTTGTACTTTGGGCATACAACTACAGATACAACTATATAATTTTTTTTTAAGTTGTTTTGAACACGTGTATCCAAGTTCAATGAACAGGTTATCGTTTTACGTTTTACGAGTAGGTATGGGACACCTGATGCTATAACAGAAAAGTAAAATGTTGGTGATGAACGTAGTATGATTTTCAAATATTCACACACGTACTTTTCTCTACATAAGCTCCTAACTCTGTACAAGGTGGTCAACTGAAAATGCGAGGTACTGTACCTGGGAACCTATCCGTCATAGAGGCTTGCGGTAAAAACAGTTATTACTAAAACGGCCAAGAGAAAAACCTGGAGAATATTATCAAGTTTCTGACGTGGCCGCTAGGGGGCGAACTGCAATCTTGAATCTAAAAGTGATGTTTCTGTGAATTCCGCTATTTTAATCTACAAAAAAAATACCTGAAGTCGAGGATGATGTGAACTTTTTTGTTTGACAATTTTTGCTGTATCCCTAAAAATAAAGTGGTGGGGGTACTCAGACGTTTTCGTAAAAAACACCCTGTATCTTCGAAACGGCTGATCCGATTTTAACCAACTTGGGCTAGTTGAAAAGAGCTATTTATGGGCTACAAATGTTATGATATTTTCAGTTTTGTTAGCTTTACATCTGTCCGCTAGAGGGCTTTTTTAGACATTTCGACAGAAATGGTAAATTTTTGTAAACAAATTAAATGCACTGGTTTGGTTTTTTCATGAAAAAGTAGCTAAATGATGTCTAAACAAGCTCGTGAAAATCGCTTCTCGATATCTTGTTCCTAATCTAAAATTTAGGCCAAAGAAAATTTTAGACGGAAGTCCCTCATATTTTTTAAACTATTTTTCTGGAATTTCTTTTAATTATTAAATTGTGTACCTAAAAAGGTAACGATTTAAAAAAGAAAGGTTTTTTATAAAATAAAAAGTGTAAACCAATACTTTTGGAAAATTGTATGAGCGATCATTATCCTGTTTTGTTCAATGTTGGGTATTTGAAAGGAAGTAATTGTATCATTAACAAAAACAGCTATGATTTTCAGAAAATTGATGAGAACAGGTTGACAGATTATTTGCAAGTGGTGACTTGGGACAGTGTTTTTTTCTGAGAGTGATGTCTAAAAAGCAACTGATAACTTCTATAATGAATTATATAAAGTCATAGATCATTCAACGTATTATTTAAAAATAAATAGTAAGACTAAAAAACGCAAGCCGTGGATGACTGACGGTATTCTTATTTCGATCAAGAAGAGGGATGAGTTGAAACAGAGTTTGACGAAAGATAATGATCATTTGATATTGAGACAGTCCTATATCTCCTACAGAAACAGAGTAACTAGATCTCTAAAAATCAATATTTCACATTTTAGCAGGTAATAACTAAAAAAGCTGGGATGTTATTAATGAGGTAACTAATGCTGGCAAAATTAAAAAAAATGACGTAAAATCAATTTATCACAATAATCAGCAGCTGGACGCTCCCACTGATATAGTCTGTGTTTTTAATAAATGTTTTGTTGATATAGGTGAGCACAAATAACAAGTCAGATTGATCAAAACTCAATTCTTGATACATCAGATCTTCATGTCGTCAACATTGGTCTAACTCCAGAGGATAACATAGAGTTACAGCAAATAGTTTGTAATCTGAAAAATAATACCGCACCCGGAAAAGATGGCTTACACACAAAAACTATCAAGATGATCATGAAGTATATCAGTCACTCTATAATTCATATTATCAACTTCTGTTTCAAATCCTCAGTAATTCCTCGATAATTTAAAGAAAGCGTAGTGACACCAATATTTAAATCTGGAAGTAAAGACAATATGTTCAATTATAGACCTATTTCAGTTATCAATGTATGTGAGAAGATTTTTGAGACGTGTTTGAATAGCAGACTTTGTTCTTTTCTTGAGAAATATGACATAATTTCGAACTGCCAATTTGGGTTCCGCAAAAATTGCAATACAGAGCAATCTCTACAATAACTTATAGGACAAGTGCTAAAATTTCCAAGATGGAAATAAGACTGTTGCTGTTTTACTAGATCTTCAAAAGGCTTTCGATTCAGTATCTCATACAATTTTATTAAAGAAACTAGAAAGTGTTGGAGTACGTAGTGGAGTTCTGAGCTTATTTGAGAACTATTTGGCTGATCGATTACAAGTTAAGGTAGGGTCAGATTTAAGCAGCACTCAAAAGATCAAAATAGGTGTGCCTCAGGGGACGGTTTTGGAACCAACACAGTTCCTCATATTCATAAAACAACTACTTTGATGCAATTTCAACTGTAAAATTATTTCATATGCAGATGATACTGTTTTAGTTTGCACTGGAATGACGCAATAAGGAATGCCGAGTTGTCATTAAATAAAGATAAATGCTGGTTGGATAACAATTTACTTAAACTTAATATCTCTAAAACTAAGTATGTGACGTTTTCTCCAACCTAAGCACGCATGCCATTACACCACCGAACATTAATCATAAATGATAGTGCTGACACTGTCGAAAGAGTTATTCGATACTTAGGAATCATTGTTGACAGTAATTTAAAATGGCAGAGTCATGCCGAGCTTTTGGCATCGAAATTAAGGAAAATTATTGATAAGCTTTTCAATCTTAGGAATATTTTAAGCAGAAAGAGTCTTCTCTCAATATATAACTCGTTTGTGGGGTCTCTACTAACTTATGGGACAAGTATATGGGGAGCCGCATACACTAGTACTTTAAAAATATCACGAACCACGCAAAATTATATTGCCAGGACTATTTTGCGTATCCCATGTAGGTCAATGTTGCAGATTCGTTTACATTGAAAATGATATTTTGAATGTTAGAGGTTTATATATTTTTGCTGTTGTGAAATTTGTTCACTCCAGAAACAATGTTCCAACCAGCCACGCTTACGAAACAAGAACTAAAATAAATATAAGTTACACTTATACCAGAGTGAATAAATCTGTTTGACAAAAATGCATAAAGTTTGATGGTTTTAGGTTGTATAATAAATTACCCCTAGAATATAAAATCCTCTCGAAGTATAGTTTCATCTTAAATAACTGTGACATGATTGCATCGATTGTAGCTTGACTCAACCCAGTCATTTCGTTTCTATCTAATGTTTTTATTTCTTTTTTTTATATACATTTGCTTATAATACACTTTATGACCATTAACCATGCATTGAATTTGTATATTGTGTGACACACACAAGCTTATACTCGTAGCTTAGGTGTCTATTCTTTTGTAATAAATAAAAAATAAATTCCTTTAAAAATAAATAAGTAAGTATAAAACGAATACGTATTGCTTTACGAATCCGGTTTTTCATATCTTCTCTGGTGGTAGGTGGAGTCTGAAACACGATGTCCTTTAACCGTCCCCATTAATATAAATCAAGAGAAGTTAATTCTGGTGATTCGCGAAGGCCATGGAAATAGACTTTCTCTTCCAATCCACCGCTGTTGAAATACTGCGGTAATATTCTCTCGCACGATAATAGCAAAATGTCATGCACAACCATCCAACTGCAAAAACAAGTTTTGCCGTGTTTCCAGTGGCACATCTTCCAACAACAACGGTAATGGATTGTCCCAAAAAGTCAAGACATACATTGACATTTCAGACCAATAATACATATTGTGCAAATTCACTCGCCCTTCACTACTTTTAGGCCTCTGTCTAAGAGGCTGCTTCGGTACACCCTTGAAAATCTTTTCGATCAAAAGCTGGAAACTCGAAAAATTATTGTTTTCTTATGGGCTGTTCTAACAGCACTGCAAGATGACTTAATTTGTATGTACTTGTTATAATAATACTATTCAATTTTTCTTTGTCTGCAGGTGACTCCAAACGAGCTCTAGATGAATACACCTCCGAGATCATGATGGGCGGAACCAACACCATTGTGATCCACAACACCTGTGAAGACTCCTTGTTGGCCACACCCATCATTTTGGATCTCGTGCTTCTGGCCGAACTCTTCTCCAGGATCAAAATCAAGCGCGAAAACTGGTCTGATGAGGAATACACCGGATTCCACTCCGTCCTCAGCTTGCTCAGTTACCTGTGCAAGGCTCCCTTGGTCCCTCCAGGTAGGTGACTAATTGGCAAACTTTCAATTCGGTGTACATTTATACTAAGTGACATATAAATCTGAACACCCAGTTTAAATGGTTTTATTTTAATAAAATTTAGTATAAGTACTTAATGAAGCATAATAAGTAAATGATAAAAATTTCAAAATGATTGCACTGCTTTAAAGCCCTTTGACCTTTAATAATGTGTGGATGCACCCTGATGTGGTACGCATTCTCCAACGCGCCTAGGCATGCTTCTGATCAGGTGGTCAATGTCTTCCTGTGGTATCTCATTCCAGGCAACCACCAACTCCTCTCGAAGTGCTTCTAGAGTCTGAGGAGGACGTTGCAAATTGAGCAATCTCCTACCCATCATATCCCACACGTGCTCAATTGGGGATAAGTCGGGAGATCTTGGTGGCCATGGTAACAATGTGACATCATTATGTTGAAAGAAGTCTATTGTGACTCTTGCAACATGTGGTCGGGCATTATCTTGTTGGAAAGTTGGATCTGCCAGTCTGTCAAGATAGGGTAAAAGATGGGGTTCTGGAATTTCGTGGATATAACGCTGCGCGTTCATGTTACCTCTGATGAAGATTAAAGGTGACCTGGAACCATAAGCTATAGCACCCCAAACCATAACTCCAACAGTGTGATGAACATGTCTTTCAACAAAAAACTGTGGATTCCTCCTTTCACCACGTCGCCTTCTAACCCTGGCACGACCATCGTGCATGCCTAAACAAAATCGAGACTCGTCACTAAAGACAATACTGTTCCATTCCTGATCCCAGAGTGACCGTTGTCTGCACCACTCAAGGCGATTACGTCGGTGTTCTCGAGTTAAAGGGAGGACCCAGTGTGGCCGGTATGAAAACAAGCCAAAACTTCTCATTCGTCGGTAAACACTTCGCATGCCAATAGGTCTTCCGTGTTCTGCAAACCATTCATTTGCAATGGACCTGGTAGTGGAGAAACGGTCCCTTAAGGCCAATAATCTTAGGCGGCGATCTTCACGGTCTGTTGTTCTACGGCGGCGTCCAGTGCCCCTTGCTCTTTGCGTACGGCCTTCTCGAAGCCATGCCTGACAACACCTAACCACAGTGTCTACACTTCTTTGCACTCTAACTGCAATTGCCCAAAAAGAAAGTCCAGCTTCCCGAAGTCCCACTATACGGCCCCTATCAAACTCACTAAGTTGACGAAATCGTACAGGTCTCCGTACTCTAGGCATCGTAACCGATCGTAAAGGATGTCAAGAACCAAAATCCGCCAACGTTGATTCTTTACTGCGGCTGAAATATTCATTTTTAGAGCGTTACTGAATTAAAAAAAAGCAGTATAAAAACCGGAATGTCCAACTTATAAGGCTGGAAATTTTTTCACTTGTTATTTACAGTAAGATAAATACATTCACCAACTTTTATTAAAATAAAACCATTTAAACTGGGTGTTCGGATTTATATGTCACTTAGTATATTTTTATATCGTGTCTTGATGCTAGTCTTAGATTTTAAGAATCAGGTGAAGATGTTCAACAATGTATCAAAATAAAATACCATACATTACCCAAAACATTTTCCACTACAAAAGCTGAAACTTGAAGGTTCTGCAAAATCTTAATAAATAATAGTTTAAAAAACCAAAAAAAACGCTTTTATAACTAACCGAACTAAAACGTAGAAAATAATTTTTAATCACAAAGAGTTAATATTACAGTAGTAGATGGTCGAATAATCAATCATAATTAACGACCTCAAAATAAAATTTAAGTTATTAAAGAATAATTCTATTCAGAATAAAAAGCGTGGGGTGCTTGATACGAGGGTGGTCCCAGAAGTACCCGGCCTGACCTAGAGATGGCGATAGTCGTTTGAAAAATATCATTGTATTAGAAAGTATGCAACCCATAAAGCATATGTGTCAAGTTTGAAGACGCCACGTTGTTTAGTATTTGTTTGGCAGCCATCAATACTGAACGTTTTTGGTGAATTTGTGAAAATGGAGAAAATTGGTCATCGTTTTGTGGTCAATACTTTTATTTCAAAGGCCTCAGCCCAACCAATATAAAAGCTGAACTGGATTCTACTCTAGGCGAGTCTGTGCATTCGTTTACAACAGTAAAATATCGGGTAGCAGAGTTTAAACGAGGCCGTATGAGCGGCCAAGACGAGCATCGCAGTGGTCGACCAAATGAGGTGACGACTCCAGAAATGGTGAAGAAATATCACAAAGCGATACTGAATGATCATCGATTGAAAGTGCGCGAGCTAGCAGACATAGTAGGCATTTCAAAAAGTGCGGTTCATCGCATATTATGTGAAAATTTGGACATGAGAAAGCTGTGTGCAAGATGGGTGCCGATAATTTTCATTGACTATCTTGAAAAAGGTAAAACTATCAACGGCGAGTATTATGCGAACTGATTGCAACGTTTGAGCGATGAAATCAAGCAAAAACGGCCGCATTTGGTTAAGAAGAAAGTGCTGTTTCATCAAGACAATGCACCAGCTCACAAATCCGTTATTGTAATGGCCAAAATTAACGAATTAAAGTTTGAATTGCTACCTCAAGCACCCTATTCACCAGATTTAGCCCTCTCGAATTATTTTCTGTTTCCAAACTTGAAAAAATGGCTCAGCGGTCAAAGATTTTCCAACGATGAAGAAGTGATGTCGGCAGTTAATGGCTATTTTTAGGAGCAAGACAGTTCTTATTATAAAAAGAGTATCGAACTTATTGAACATCGCTGGGAAAAAGTGTATAGAGCTCAAAGGAGATTATGTTGAAAAATAAATACATTTTTTCACAAAATTTTGTGTTTTCTTCGTTGGGTCGGGTACTTCTGGGACCACACTCGTATATTAAATGTTACAATCATTCTATTGGGAACCATGTATGAGAGTATAATATGCGTATAGCCTATGACTGGTTTATGGAAAACCATTCACAACATTTCTTGTTGTTTCAGGTACTCCTGTGGTCAACGCCTTGGCCAAACAGAGGGCAGCCATTGAAAATGTCATGAAGGCGTGCTTGGGCTTGCCTCCAGACAACAACATGACCCTGGAACACAAGGTACCGTTCCTCATGGTCGCCCATTCCAAAGAGAAGAAAGAAAATGGCTTGAAGCTGGATCATTAATAAGGCTGTGATTACACGTATTACTATATTCGCTGTGTTGATGTAGGAAATTCAAATGCTTCAACAGTAGTGTCAGGTGAATATTCTAGCAGCACATTATATGAAAATGTTGACCAAAACTAGTCGGCTCAGTGAGTATAGTGATCAATAACTCGATTGTTTGTTGGAGATATTTGCATCTTGATGTTACATTAACATCATTAAAATATGAACTAACTTTTTGTTTATCTTGAGTACGGTGCCTTTGATCCTTATTTAACAAATATTGATTTAAGTTGTACCATGTTTGCAAATTTACATAACATGTATAGCCTTCACATATTCAACATTTTAGCATTTCGTTTGTATATGATGCAATACTCTAAATATTTATTGAATGATTACGATCAAAGATTATTATGAAATGTGATTTCAAGTAGGAAGAGTCCAGAAAGTCTATTAGACTGATTCTGAGGATGAAGCCTTATATTCTGGCCTTCAGATTGTTTGAAATATCCAAACGTGATCTGTAGATACGATATTCTACTGGAATGTTTTATATAATTGGAGCTTTAAGCTTTAACTTCTTACTACTTGTTAATTATTTTAGACATTTTATTTATTGCTTTTCTCAGGCATCTTGTACTGTAGTGAATACAAGAACAGAAGTACTTTGTAACTACTATATGTAAGATGCTTAAATTGATGTACTTCCAAAGAATTTAGCAATAAAGATATAAATTATAACTCTTGATTTTATTTCAACTCTCCATGTTCTTATTGAAACTGCTTCGACTACGCAGCACATGTTTCAATTCAGACCCGAATCTCCGCCTAGGAATTTAGGTGTCCGCTCCTATGAGGGCAAACAAATTTTTGTTCGAATTGGGATACTATTTTTTCCATTCGACTCTAACAACTCGATAACAAAAATAAATGTTATATGCGATCGGGGAACGACTTTCGGTCAAACTTTGAATCTGAAAGTTAATAGGGATACACAGATTTCAAAACCTAATTCTTATTCGACAAATAAAACACTGCTTTATTTGTATACTGACATATAAATCCGAACACCCAGTTTAAATGGTTTTATTTTAATAAAAGTTGGTGAATGTATTTATCTTACTGTAAATAACAAGTGAAAAAATTTTCATCCTTATCAGTTGGACATTCCGGTTTTTATACTGCTTTTTTTTTAATTCACTAACGCTCTAAAAATGAATATTTCAGACGCAGTAAAGAATCAACGTTGGCGGATTTTGGTTCCTGACATCCTTTACGATCGGTTACGATGCCTAGAGTACGGAGACCTGTACGATTTCGTCAACTTAGTGAGTTTGATAGGGGCCGTATAGTGGGACTTCGGGAAGCTGGACTTTCTTTTCGGGCAATTGCAGTTAGAGTGCATGAAGTGTAGACACTGTGGTTAGGTGTTGTCAGGCATGGCTTCGAGAAGGCCGTACGCAAAGAGCAAGGGGCACTGGACGCCGCCGTAGAACAACAGACCGTGAAGATCGCCGCCTAAGATTATTGGTCTTAAGGGACCGTTTCTCCACTACCAGGTCCATTGCAAATGAATGGTTTGCAGAACACGGAAGACCTATTGGCATGCGAAGTGTTTACCGACGAATGAGAAGTTTTGGCTTGTTTTCATACCGGCCACACTGGTTCCTCCCTTTAACTCGAGAACACCGACGTAATCGCCTTGAGTGGTGCAGACAACGGTCACTCTGGGATCAGGAATGGAACAGTATTGTCTTTAGTGACGAGTCTCGATTTTGTTTAGGCATGCACGATGGTCGTGCCAGGGTTAGAAGGCGATGTGGTGAAAGGAGGAATCCACAGTTTTTTGTTGAAAGACATGTTCATCACACTGTTGGAGTTATGGTTTGGGGTGCTATAGCTTATGGTTACAGGTCAACTTTAATCTTCATCAGAGGTAACATGAACGAGCTTAGAAAAATCAACCCCGAAAGAAGAATCATCCTCCACCAAGACAATGCAAGCTCGCACACAGCCCAAAAAACAAAGTTAGTATTTAACGGAAGAAAACGTGGAATTATTGGACCATCCTCCATATAGTCCCGATCTGAGTCCTAACGATTTCTTTACTTTCCCGAAAATTAAAAACAGACGGCGTGGTCAAAGGTTCCAGTCACCAGAAGAAGCAGTTGACGCATTCAAAAATGCCGTTTTGGATCTGCCAGCAAACGAGTGGAATAAGTGCTTCGAAAATTGGTTCGAGCGCATGGAGAATACTTCGAAAAACAATAAAGTCATTTAAAACTACCTACCGTGTTGTTTTATTTCCATATGCAAAACTTAATATGCACACATTCTGGGCCCGCTAGCGAGATCCGCCGGATGGTACCTCCGCGATCGACAGTCAGGGACCGTCTACCATCCACCATAGTTTGAAATTAAAAAAATATGTTCAACAGTTGTACAAAAAATATTTATTCGTGAAACAAATTAAGAAGCAAAATACACTACTCAAATCACTTTTATATAGTAACAAAATGTGTCGTTGCAAGTGGAATATGAAAAAATATTACCTAGTTTATTGTACTTTCAAACAAATAAACAAAAATGTTATCGAAATTATTATTGTCATGTTTAATTTTTTTGTTCAAATTAAATGTATCATATTTTATAGCATATTATTTCCAAACGGTCAATTTCATCGTCCTGAATTTCAGCCGGCTAACTTGACCAATTAAAATAAGTTGGGGTGGGGGTTTTTCCTGAAAAAGACTATATAATAAATTCAACTTGTATAGTTCGTAGGAAGTTAAAGAAAACTTATTTTTTTTTTTCATTTTCACAATACTACATATTGAACTTACTGCAAATGCAATAATTACTGTTTCCAATAATTAGGTATGAGATAAAATACTAAATAAAATTAACCTCGAATCTATGCCAATAATTATACAGGGTGACTTTGAAGTTGAGTCATTAATTTTCAGATAATGATTGTAGAAGGAAGATAAACCAGAATATGTGTGTAAAAATAAAAAAAAATTAAAAAAAAATTTTTACCTTGTTTTATAAAGTATCCTCCCGACAAGTATTTCAGTGCGGACCTGTATTTGATCGTGAGGTCCCCTGTGAGGTCTTAAGTCACCTGATTCACGAGCCCGTTGTACTACATTAACAAAGGCACGAGGGGTTGGTTGCACTCGATTGGGAAACCGATCCGCATAAACATGTGCCATTTTTTATTTCGTTTGAGCCACGCAACAGACACTATTCACACGCTAACCGACAGACACTGAGTGTATGTATAACTGAACTGAATAAAATACTTAATTGCAAAAACGTTCCAAATTCTTTCGCTTTTTTGTTTCCGATGCGATGAACTGGTAAGGCGGATTATATCTGTTGTTGCCAAACACGAGTACATGATATTATTATTGAGACAGGGCGGTACTCAAACTTCCAAAGGGCTATAACTTTGTTACTTTAATTTTACCAGAAAAATGGTAAAGGAAAAAACATTTCTTTTGATCAGATCTACTCACTGTTAAAATAAATGACTCAACTTCGAAGTCACCCTGTATATCTTTGGTACTGTATCACAACAGTGAACTAGGTATTATCTTTTCTGTTTACAATGTCCTAAAACCCTCAATAAATATTTCCGCGTTTACGGTAGTGATAACAGAATATTTTCAAATAAAAATATTTTGGATTCGGATTCTTCAAAGATGTGAAACAAAAATTTGAATAACTTAGCAATTATTTATTTTTGTGAATGCATGCTTAAAAAAATGAAAAAGTACTGAAATATTCTGTGAGCACGAATATTCATTTACCAAATTTGGCAGTAAATATACTAGTGATATACGAGGGTTGTTTGAAAAATAGTGTTCCCAACGACGTAACTTTGCCGCGGAGTCTGGTAACACCTTCGCGTTTGCCGGCTCCCTCACCATCGACCCAACATCGCAACAAACGAAGGACTCAGTGCCGGATGCCCCGCTGTTCGATTTTCGTCCGTCGGCGCGCATGACGTCACGCGGAGAGTGATTATCATTTGGGTTGATATGGAAAACGGCTGGTCGAATTTTCACATATGAAGTGTCGTTGGATTCGTCTTAGCGGTGCGCGCGACACAATCTACATTAAAATTTCATGCAAAACAAAATGACGGATTTTAATAAAACATTTCAACATTGTAATTCCTATCTCACAGGTTATAGCTTGAACGGCTTTCTACCTCCACAATAGAGCGTGTATCGTCACTTTACTGTAAAAGCAAGATTTTTATACAATACCTATATTTTAGTATGTTCTGTGGAGCAGGATTAACATGCTCATGACGCTAATACTGCACTACATTTATTCATCCTTATTTCACATTTGCAGTAAGCTGGCAGTATAACAATAAATAGCAATGACTTAGTCTAATCCCCAATTTTTAATTTTTTCAAACTGTTACTCAGTTCTTTAATCCGGAAGAACTTCCTTGACCTGAAAAATAGTTTCTTAGCTTTTTCAGGGCTGTCAATGTTCCATAGGAATGGCATCATCTTTTAGAGCATGATATCTTTTAGGGGTGTAACCCAAAGGGGTATGTTTAAAATTGACCTTATATGCATTTTCACAAAAGTGGTTCGAGCAAATCCTAGCGTTTTTTACATTAACTTTGATTTTTCTTTTTGTATGATGCAGCCGTTTTCTGCTAAGGTTTGGGTCTTGAGGAAAACTGTGGAACTTCATGTGTTGGAAAGGATTCCGTTTAGATTGATTGTCGGAATTACATCCCACAACAGCGCACCGCATTTTTATCAATTTACTAACATCACAGGGTATATAAAGTATGTATAACTAATTTAAAAAGTCACAAACCCACCAAAAATCACCAACAGATCGCACTATATAGTATTAACCACGATACACGTGCACTGCAGTAACGTTACGACAAACCTGCCGCTGGTAACCACGAGCCGACAACTCTCCGGGTGACGTCACGAAGCCCCGCCCACATGCGCAATGTATGTGCATCGTGCAAAGGACTGAATCAAGTACCAAGTTTCCAGTGGTGGACTTCTTTGAGACGGGAGTGAGAAAGAGGAAAAAATGCGTAGAAAGAGTGGCAACTATGTAGAAAAATAGCTTTAACAACAATGTTTCTAATGGCAAATTGTTTTTTTTTTTAGATAAATTCCTTGTGCTTGAAAAAAATGTGAAAACCTTATTTTTGAGACAACCTCGTATGTACCTTTAATGGAAAAATAAGATTATATTTGTTGAACAACTCTGTACGTTTCCGAAGATAGATTTTAAAAAAAATCTTTGTGCTGTTAATTGCAGTTGTGATATTTTGTGATGACTCGACCTGGCAGAATTATTCTTACTACAATGCTTGAGCTGGTACAAAGTGACAACTTTCATGTATCCATGTGTTCACGGAACTAAAAAAATTGAGCAATTTCCGAAAAACATTCTTGGTATAAATGTGAGGTGTGTAGGATTTATGTGATTTTTTTGGCATAAACAAATGTTAAAGAGCATCACAAGACAATTATATAACTCGAGTCATCACAATAATTATTAAGGTAACACTAAACGATCAGTCGACGCACAACATCTATTTGGAAATCTGATAAAAAAACTAGACAAATGACATACAGTGCTTTTTAGAAATCCCTCACCTCCCCACTTTTTTTTCAATCGGATCAAGTTAGCGAGCTGAAATTCGGGATAATTGCCGTAAAAGTGACAATTGTCAATTTTAAGATGGAATACATGCGCTAATATTGTTTTAATTAAAATGGACGGTTATATGATAGGTACCTTATTTTAACCCTAGAATATAAAGTCCTTTTCTTTCAAAGTAGCGAACTGGAAGACTGTCTCAGCAATTAAACATAAAAACATTAATATTATGTTATAACAATCTTGTTCTTTTGGAAGGCAATATCTGAATGAGCAATATGAGACATTCCGTTTAATAAAAATGTCAGATTTTGACATAGGTGTATATAATGGAATGTCTCATATTTTATTAAATAGCGATTAGATCCTTGCAAGAGAAGAATATTAGAATAACATATAGCGTTTTGATGATTGGTTGTCGAGCTACGACTCAATATAAAAAAACGCGCAGCTTTGACAGCTTGCCAGACCGCCATTTTGAAAGAGGGTATTTTTTTATTCTACGGCTATAAAATACTCATAAGGAGATTCAAAATGATTCATGATACGACCCCTCATTCCATTTGAAAAATGTTCCAAAACGGCGCCATCTTAGAATATGCATCCCGAACTTTCGACTAGAACATAGTATTTATGAATTAATTCCATTACGTCGAATTTCAGCATTCTAACTTGCCCAATAAATAAGTGAGTGGGGACCTTTTTGAAAAGCACTGTATTTTCATGTTTTTGGCGGGTCACAAAACTATCAGTATCACTTTCATAGATCAATCTCCCTTACACATACGTTGTTTACTTTCGTCTCGCCATCTCAACATTTTTTCAACTAAGTATTTCTTATACAGGGTGACCCAACGAAAAGGTCGATCGCCCATTTGTGACTCCCCTGGTATATTTTAGGAAAAAAGCTCGGACACGTCAATATTAATTTCTAGGTGGACGTCTTTTCATCAATACAGAGTGGTCCAAAAATGAGATATTGCATTACACTTTAGATTTTTAAATGTACATCCCCATTTTTCAATTTCTAGATTTTCCATGAATTTTTCAGTAACTTTTGTATAATAAAGTGTATATCTATCTTCAATCGTCGAGAAGCTATTGGAGTTTATAATAAAATCCGACTCAATACTGATAATAATAGAATGCACGGCAAAAAATAATAATCATGAATCCCAGCAGGAACATTTAGCATCGTTCAGTTGTGATAAATATTGAACAATGACTTATTCAATTCAAGAAAAGGTAGACATAACAAAACTGTATTACCAAAATGGAAGCATTGCAGAGCTACTGCGCGGTTGTTTAATGCGTTACATCCATATAAAAATATTAATAATAAGTAGTCAGTTAGAAATGAAGCCGCAGAAATAGCAGTTTTGGGACCCGTAGCACTTGACAATACCCAAAGCACTCGTGGACTGGCGACTTCTTCAGGATTTACGCTCAACAATACAAAGAATTTTGAAATACAATAAATTTCTACCAGTACAAGATAAAACTTGTCCATGAGCTTAATGAAAACGATTTTAATAGAAGGTTGTAGTTTTTCGAATGAATGTCCAATGCTTAATCAACAATGCAAATCTGTTTCTGTTTAATATTTGTTTCTCGGATGAGTGTACGTTCTATTTACAAGGTGCTGTAAATAGATATAATTGTCGATATTGGAGTGAGTCGAATCCACATTTTTTTCGAGAGGTAGACTCGCAATATCCTGAATAAATAAATGTGCGGGCCGGCAGTTTCGGAAATCATATTGTATCTTTATTATTGCATAGAGGTAAATGGGCACCACTTTCAGCACTTATTACCACATCGACCTACCTCTTGTAGCAAATTAATTTTTAGTTTAACTTCAATGCGCGTGTACTGTAAGTTGTTTTTTGTATTTTCAATACTTGGAGACTTGTTTTTAATTTTAAAGACTTGTTACTATGGGCACTATATTGAATATTATTTTTACGATATAATCCCATATCACAATTTCTATAATTTTATTATAAACTCAAATAGCTTTACAACTTTATTATACAATAGTTACTAAAAACTTGATGGTTAATTTAAAAATTCAATAAAAGAGGATTTCCATTTAAATATCTAAAGTGTAACGCAAAATATTATTTTTGGACCACCGTGTATTGTTTTTCCCAAAAATGTACCGGGAGAGTTACAAATAGGGATGCGACGTTTTCGTTGGGCCACCCTGTATATGCATGCCACTGTCAGTGAGACAAGCCACTTTTCATATGCGTGCGCTTTGAGTTCAACTTTCGTTGATCTTAATTCAAAACTTAGCAGTGCTTCAAAATACAAAAAGTGACAACTTTGCTAAATTTATTGGGTTTTTTTTTTGTTGAAAAGTCGATTAATGCAACGGTCAATTATTATTCAATTCACGTGTGCAAGAGCAGTTGCGTTTAAATCAGCTCATGTAGTGTGAAATTTTCTCCCGAAAAGTTGAGGTCTGCATATGGCCAATCCGCCAAAAAACGTGAAACGATCTATATTCCCAAGTTCTGATTTTTCTAAAAATTCGTTTTTATATATTTCCATCTATATCAAATAGTTGTTGTAAGCCGAGCAAGTTCCAATATCACAATAAATTATACAAATATTATCATTCCGTTTAGACGTTTTCTATTTGAACAACCTATTGTTGTCTCCATGAATCATCGTCAAACAGGGCGACGCTACATCAATGTATCGTTAGAGGTAGTTGACAAATAAACGGTGTTTTTTTTTTGAGGTATAGAACTTTAAGTTAGCATTACTTTTGAAGATGGCGAACGATTTGACAGCTGTCAAGTGATTTATTCTCAGTTTAGTTTGGCAATTCATCATGAATAGACTCACGCCTGAACAATGCTTGCAAATTGTGCAGTTTTATTTCGAAAATAACGGTTCTGTGCGGAATACGTATCGCGCACTACGTCCATTTTATCGTCCATCAGAGCAGTTAATTCGATCAACAATGGAACGTTTTCGCACCACCTTTACTCTAATTGATAACTCGCATCCCCAGAGACGCCGTACGGTGCGTACAGAAGAAGCTATTGCCACTGTTGAGCGTAGCATTGAGAAGACCCGAATGAGTCCATCCGCCATCGACCACAGGAATGGTATCTGTGTCCATCCACTTTATGGAAGATTTTGCGGAATGATCTTGGTTTGCGTGCTCACAAAATCCAACTCGTGTAAGAATTCAAGCCAAACGACAATCAAGCAAGGCGTAGATTCGTTGAATGGGCCCAAAACGACATTGTCGTTGTTCCCGATTTTCATCAGCGAATTTTGTTTAGCGATGAAGCGCACTTCTGGTTGAATGGCTACGTCAACAAACAAAACTGCCGCATTTGGAGTGAAGCTAATCCTCAAGTCTATGTCGAAACACCGTTACATCCAGAAAATCTGACTGTTTGGTGCGCTTTATGGACTGGTGGAATCATTGGTCCGTACTTCTTCAAAAACGATGATTGCCAGAACGTGATCGGTATAGAGCCATGATCACTAACTTTTTCATTCCTGAATTGAACAATCATGATGTCCAGGAGCTGTGGTTACAACAAGACGGCGCAACATGTCACACAGCTCGTGCTACAATCGATTTATTGAAAGACACGTTTGGTGACCGCCTAATTTCACGTTTTGGATCTGTGAATTGGCCTCCAAGATCTTGTGATTTAACACCGCTAGACTATTTTCTGTGGGCTATGCAAAGTCATTGGTCTAAGCGGATAAGCCACAAACGCTTGACCATTTGGAAGACAACATTCGCCATGTTATTGACGATATACGGCCACAAATGTTGAAAAAAGTCATCGAAAACTGGACGTAAAGATTGGACTACATCCGAGCCAGCTGTATGCCAGAAATCATGTTTAAAATGTAATGCCACAAGATTATCTTTCGGATAAAAAAATCATGTCAATCGCATAATCCATCGTTGTTTTATTGCAATTTAAAATTCTATACCTCTAAAAAATACCCGTTATATATTAATTATTATTATGTGAGTTAAAGTGGATTTTTTCATATCGACGACTTTTCGTTGTTAGTTATCCAATGATTTAGGAAGTCAAGTAAGAATAGTACTAATTTGGAATATAATATTGTCGAACGATCGTTGGAAAATTGGGATGAACAGAATCCTTAAAGTTCTAAACGTGTATTTAGGTTGATTAAAATTAGATTAAACCTAATCAATACCTTTGGAATATAAATAATGTAAATAGTTGCAAAATATGAGTTTGAAAAATACACACTTTAACTCACAACCCAAACAAATGGAAAACCTATCGTTTGACCATCCCTAAAACCGAAAAAACTTACAATTTCTATAGGTTTCTGCCATTTGGGCTCATTAAAACACCCAGGTTCACATGAAATTATATCTAGGATGATAACACTTTTATTCCTTTTGCATATCTGTGGGTGAAACTATAAGAAATCTGGGTCTGCATATATAGCATCATCCTAGCTGTGATTCAAAAGTGATCACTGGTAAAGGAGAAAGAAATAACGAAATATAAAGTATGCTAAATTTTGACTTAAAGTTGAGCTTTGATAAAACATTCTACGTCTATAATACGCATGTCATGTTGTCAAAGCATACGAGCATTCATGGATGACTAGATTAAACTTTATAGGTATCATTGCGAGAAACAGAGCAGAGACAATACAAACCTACAGTACCGAGCAAAAGTAGAGAAGCAAACCACAAAAATCCAGCAAGATTTACTCTAACCCGAAACTGCACACTAACGTTTTTTATGTATGACTACCTGAAGATAATGAAATGCTTATCTTTGGATACATTCTTTTTTTTCTATATAATATGGTCGGTTCTTTGTTCAACGAGCAAAGTAGAGAAACATTTTGTAAATATTTAGTCGTCGATTAGAATAGGTGTCATTTTTGAGTGTATTTGCAAAACTATTAAGCCTCAAAGAATCGTTGGTAAGCCCTCCTAAGACTGGTAGACCGCGAAAAACCACATCTAGGATTAATCGAAAAATTAAAACACTTGCTCTTAAAAATCCATTTACTACTGCTGTCGACATAAAACCTCAACTTGAAGAAGTAAATATTGGTGTCCACACTGTTTGAAGACGTTTAAGGGAGAGTGATTTACCAGCAAGGAGACCATCTAAAAAAACTTTATTTCCAAGAAAAATCGGACCGTCCGTCTACAATTTGCTTACGATCATTTGAACTGGTCAGAAACAAGGTGGAATTCTTTGTGGTGTTCTGATGAAAGTAAATTTATTGTCATCGGATGGCATTTTATGTGTAAGACGTCCTAAAAACAAGCGATTTGATCTTAAGTTCACTTTGGGCACAATCAAACACGGAGACGGGAAGGTTCAAGTATGAGGTTGCTTCTGTGGTCTTCAGATGGGACCGATCGCCAAAATTGAAGGAATTATGGACCGGTACAAATACTTGGAAATATTAACTGATGGCGGTTCCAGCACGAAAACGACCCCAAGCACACATCGAAATTAATAAAAACATTTTTTGCATATCACAATATTAATGTCATTAGGTGGTCCAGACCTTAACCCCATAGAGAACCTATGGGATTTAGTTGATAAAAAAATTCGGACTGAACATCCAGAAAAGTTCAAACATAGTGCCGAACTATTTGAAACAATCGAAGTCGCCTGGAATTCTATTCCAAAACAAACCATAGATATCCTAATTGGTTCTATGAGAAAAAGATGTCTAGCAGTTATCAAAAATAAAGGTTATGCAACCAAGCATTAGCTTCTTTGTATATTATGACAATTGCTTTGTATATTATGTTTCTCTATTTTTCCTCGCTGTATTTTCTAATAATAATCGTTAGCATAGTTTTATTAAGTTATCATAAAACATAAGTAGTTTAATAAAATCTTTAAAAAATAAAATGTTTCACCACTTTTGCTCGGTTCTGTATATATACCAACAGTCTCCAATTATTAGATGGTATTCATCATCCATGCTGAATAGCTCGAAATAACAAATAAACAGTATATAAATATGTACAACATATAATAAATACACACCATAAAGCTTTCGCGTACATATAAAAAGCGAATAAATATGATACGAACACAAACTTATATAAAAACACACTTCTTCTGAAGCTTCTTCTTTTTTCGTTTATCTTTATCGCTCTGCGGTTGGTTGCGAATAATACGTACCACCTTAAAAAAATATTGTTTATTTACAGAGCAACTATCATACCGAAAAAAATATTTGGCGGTTATCGAAAGTTTTTACTTGGAGCTTGGTATACTCAAATGTTTTCTACTGTTATACTGAATAACCCCTACAAGTTTGATCCCATAGTCTTGAAACACCCTGTATTTGTTGACGAAGCCGTTTAGCAAAAAATGTGCCTCATCACTGAAGATGATTTTGCGATGAAATTGGTCATTTTCTAGGAATATTTCTAGAGCAGAATTCGAGAACGTACGTCGGTTCATATGATCGAACGGCTTTAGTTCTTGAGTCAACTTGATCTGATAAGGGTGCAGGCCCAGATCTCAGATTCAGATTTTTTTACTAGAATATGAAATGCTTGTCTACTGGGACGAGCATTACGACCGAAAATTGGCGTTAACGCTCTTAACGTTACAGCCACCGACTCGGAATTTCGGTAGTAAATTTTAATTATTCGTAAACGTTGTTCCTTCGTGTACTTCACCACGATGAAAATGTTTTCTTTTTTGAATGTTTTGACATTGACAGTTCGGTAACTGATTTAAAGGTGTGTTCACAGTGAAAGTTCAAATTTGTCAAGTCCCTATTGGAAACCCCGATACAATAATCTTACTCTTCCTTGAAATGCTAGCACAAAAAAGAGGTAGCGCATATCGCAAATACTTCATTTCTTACTTTAAACTGAAATATTAGGATGTAACTTTTACAAAAATATCATTTTTTCTTTAAGGAACCCTCTGCTTGCTTTTTTATAGAATTTCAAAGTTGCATTTTTGGTGGTAATACTCTAGAATAGAATACTGTTTTATATGCTGTCTTTTTTTGCTTTTTATACAAAAGGATGCTCTAAATTATAAGAATATATCATACACTGTATAGTACTAAGGAAAATAGATGTGAAACTGTAAAGAATCGTTTTTTGCAAAAAAAGGTTCAAAACCAGACGTGTTATTACACATTAGCTTAAATAACAGAACAAAATACATACGTAAATGATGGTATTTACTTGTTAAACTGTGTAGAGGTGTTGTTTTGTGATTTTTCAATGTCTTCTTGAAATTCCTTAACCATTTTTTTTCGCGTCTTTTCAATGAGATCAACGGTTTTGCGTTTATAAGAAATATTTGAAAGTACAAACAATTCTCGATGGCCATTTTATAACGCTCATTTCTTGACAGATAAGATAAATGATGTCCATTGTTGCCAAGTTGTACCTTTTTTGGGAGAAATACGTAATCAGAAATGAGGTTATTTGCAAAATACGTCTTAATTTATTGTAAATGGCTTGTTTTATGAAAAGTTGTCTCAATATTTACCGAAAACTAGATGAAATTTTGAACAGTATATGTCTAAACAGTGGAAAATGCACCAGCGGCTCGCCAGGTACACCCAACATATCATCGTCCAACATTATTGTTAAATAAAGATCAACGATCACTTCATCAAATCATCAAAAAACTTGCAATGTTCATTGTTATGTTTTCATTATTTAGTGATTTGCAACAGCTACTTTTTCAGTTATTTCTCATATACAGGGTGTCCCAGAAGTCGACGTCAAGCCGAAACCGGGTGATAGGCAAAGCCATAACAGCTATCAGAAAAATATTTTAAAAAAAATTATGTATGTGTTTTGAAAATTATAGGTCTTTGAAAAAATATAGAAATTTCACACCCTACGGCAGTCTGTCAACTCCTGTTACTACAAATATTAACTTTTTCTGGATTTTATTTTTACAATGTAATGATGAATAATGCATCTTCAAACTGGTGTCTCAACCTTACTGCCAGCTTTTCTCGTTCAGGAAAAATTGCTACTTATTTCCCAACCAAGTATTCCATAGTAAAACTTTGCTCAACTTTAACTGGCTGTACTGGAAAAAAATGTACTACGAGAGTTTGGCAAGTAACCTTAAAAGTTGGCGCATTTAATAACGATTCCAAAATGGTATAACACTTAGAAGATTACTCGTTAACTTATGCACAATTTTTATTTGAAAAAAAACTGATGAAAATTTATCAAAATTTCCTAATTAAACAGCGATTATGAAAACGCACAAGGACCCTTAAGGATAACTGTTTGCACAACAGTGGGCGTCAAAATGCTGCTGATGATGATTTACCTTTACAGCAAATGCTCAAACTGTTTTCCTTCAGCCGCAATACACGCTCGACATCTTCTTAAAAAGATCGGGTTATTAAACGAGCGAATCCACGGTTATTAACAAACTCAGCTGCTTCCAATAGTCTTTGCCGTAGCTCAGCTACATTTTGAATCGGCTTGAAATACACTTTTTCTTTTACAGTTCCCCAGTAAAAAAATCTAAAGGATTCAAATCAGGTGATCGGGCTGGCCACGGTATTGTACCAGACCGCCTTATCCATCTGCCTGGAAAGTTTTGATCGAGATACTCTCTCACTGAGAGTGCATAGTGCGCTGGGCAGCCATCATGCTGAAACCACATGTCCCTGTAAATACTCAGTGGCACGTCCACCAATAAATTTTGTACATGATTTTTCAAAAAATCCAAATAAACATCAGCAGTCAGTCTCTGGGAACTCAAACGGACCGATTATTTTACCATTTAAAATTCCTGTCCAATGGTTTATCTTGAAGCGATATTGAGATTTATCTTCTCTCATCAAATGTGGGTTTGCTACGTGCCACTCGTGTAAGTTATGCAGGTTCATGCACCCATCTTTCTTAAATGTGGTCTCATCCGACCATAAATTTTTTTCAAAGAACTGTGGATCTTTCCTGTGTTTTTCTAACATTGTGCGACAAAAAGCAACTCGGGGCTCATAATCCCGGGGCAGGAGAGGTTGAACACGCTGTATGTGGTATGGATGAAGCACATCACTTACTTGCTATTGCACACTTTGATACCGATCAGTACTCCTTCGTTTACTGCGCATCTTTACATATTCGTGCTTGTTGATTTCGTACTGTTACTAATTTTGGATTCGTGAACTGGACTGTTGATCGCTTGTGATTTGGATTTGGACTGTTTAATTGCTCTTCAAAACAACATTTGCTTTCCTTAGACTATCTTTGATAGTGTGATTGTGCAGTGCCGCTATGTCCGTGTACACCGTACAAGAATATGCTAACATGCACCTCATTTATGGGGAATGCAGATGCAACGCTAGTGCTGCAGCGAGACTTTACTGTGAGAGGTACCCGAATGCAGCTCGTCATCCAGATCATCGAGTGTTCACAAATGTGCACCGCTTACTGTTCTCAGAGGGCCAACTACCAAATCAATCACACGGTGAGGGAAGATCTTTCCTTCCTTACGAAGACGTGGTGCTAGGAGCTGTCGAAGAAGACCCGAGTACTTCAGTGTAACATGTAAAGATGCGCAGTAAACGAAGGAGTACTGATCGGTATCAAAGTGTGCAATAGCAAGTAAGTGATGTGCTTCATCCATACCACATACAGCGTGTCCTTGTGCGTTTTCATAATCGCTGTTTAATTAGGAAATTTTGAAAAATTTTCATCAGTTTTCCTTCAAATAAAAATTGTGCATAAATTAACGAGTAATCTTCTAAGTGTTATACCATTTTGGAATCCTTATTAAATGCGCCAACTCTTAAGGTTACTTGCCAAACTCTCGTAGTACATTTTTTTCCTGTACAGCCAGTTAAAGTTGAGCAAAGTTTTACTTTGGAATACTTGGTTGGGAAATAAGTATCAATTTTTCCTGAACGAGAAAAGTTGGCAGTAAGGTTGAGACACCAGTTTGAAGATGCATTATTCATCATTACATTGTAAAAATAAAATCCAAAAAAAGTTAATATTTGTAGTAACAGGTGTTGACAGACTGCCGTAGGGTGTGAAATTTCTATATTTTTTTCAAAGACCTATAATTTTCAAAACGCATACATAAAATTTTTTTAAATATTTTTCTGATAGCTGTTATGACTTTGCCTATCACCCGGTTTCGGCTTGACGTCGGCTTCTGGGACACCCTGTATATCACATTTAATTAGGTACATTTTGTAACATCAGCTTCAGATTAAAGAATTTTTCAAGCACATACATACAAAAAGTAAATAGATTATAACTATAATATAGGAAAAACAATAACCGAAGTACTTTTGCGAATTGCATAAGGCTTCTTCAAAAAAGTCTGTTTAGCTAACACTATCGTATGGCACAAGGTGGATTTAGTACAGTAAAACCTGCCGGCAACACCTCCAAATCGCATTTTCATGACAATCCTGTGCCGATTGCACATTTTGCACTAGTATATAAGTAAGGATTTGACTTAAGGTATGTTACTATCCATGATTTGGCAACATCGCAACTAGAAGGAGAGAATATGACAGTGATGGTGGTGTAGTGATGGGAATAATTATCTGAAATAAAAGAAATGACTACTTAACAATGAACTATTTTCATCATAAAAATTGCATTATTGCGATGAACAGTATCACAGTAACTTACAGTGCATGTTATATTCATATAATTTCGAACAATCTTTTGTACAAACATCAAGAAAACAGCTTATAAAGCAGTATTCTATACCACTGTATCAGCACCCAAAATGCAACTTTGAAATTCTATAAAATAGCGAGTGGAGCGTTCCTTAAAGAAAAAATGATATTTTCGTGCAAGTTACATCCTAATCTTTCATTTTAAAATAAGAAATGAAATATTTGCGATATGCGCTATTAAAGTATAGACCAAAGAAAACTCTATTAAATGGATACCATTGCATCAAGGGGATCAAGTTTAAAAAGCAGAACCAAATTTGTTAAGCTATTTTCCCGCTTATGAACGGGGTGAATCGAGTACATCATGGTACCAAAAAAACTTATCTGGAGCAGCTAAGGAACTCCTTGAAGCGGGATTCAGGCACAAATATTTCCTAGAGACGGGGTAAATATAATTAATTTTAACTTACCTCGTGAAATGTGGCGTCAATATTAAGCGGTGGATCTTTGGCACTTGATTCAATGTAAGGTATACCCAATCTGTGTGCTAACTCTCTACCTTGCTCCTCTGTAACTTTGCGCAGATGAACAAGGTCTACTTTGTTAGCGACTAGCAGCATTGGATAGGTGTCTCTGTGAGAAATCAACGTATAAAGTATCCAAACATGACCCATGCAGCTATAATATTATATATATAAAAGTTCGTCTAAATCAACAGTACTCTACGGAACAAAAAATTTGTTCTGGTGTACCACAGGGATCAGTCTTAGGGCCGCTATTATTGTCATTATATATCTCAGATTTAGAAACAGAGGTAAAATCATGCAGCATACAATTTTTTGCAGATGCTACTCAAATTTTCTATTCATTTAGGAGTAATGACTTGGAAACGGCAAATAATAAAATTAATCAAGATCTTGCCCAAATTGAAAAGTTCAGTAGTAGTCATAATCTTCGTTTGAACCCTTTGAAGACAAATATGTTGGTATACGCAAATAGAACAAAAAAGAATACCTTAAAAAAGGACATAGACATACATTTAAAAGGTAATAAATTAATTCCTGTGGATCATTCGAAAAACCTAGGTATTATAATGGATGATGACTTAAAATTTGTCGCACACGTGAACTATCTAATTACTCAGTGCTACGCTATTCTCAGAGTTTTATTTGCAAATAAGGCTATATTACATAAATCTGCGAGAAAGCAATTGTGTGAATATTTCGTGTTTTCAAAGATATCGTATTGCTTAGTGGTTTACTATCCCTATTTAGATATTATAACAAGAAATCGTATTCAAAGTATTATGAATTCATGTTGCAGACTTGTAAATGATCTCAGAAAATATGATCATATATCGAATGCCATTAATGAACTCAAATGGATGAAATTGATAAAATGTATAAGTACCAGCTCCTAAATCTGACTCATAAGATTCTTTATTCAAAAACACCGTCATATTTAGTAAACAAATTCATACGTAGAGGGATTATGCATCGCGTTAATATTAGATATAGAGAGACTTTTTCAATTTCACGCCACAGCACGTCTCTATTTCAGAATACATACATTTACAATGCGATCAAATCATATAATTCTTTAGACCGCAGTTTAAAAGAAACCAATCCATTATCCAAATTCAAGAAAAAAGTGAAAGAAGTTCTTCTTGATCAGCAGCGAAATCGGTTGTAACCCATAAGTGTCCTCATATTTTCCTTATGTATTTACTTAGATTACACTTTATTCTGTAGTTATTGTATACAGGTGCCTATTAATTTTCAACAAATTCTTTTTTTTTTTTACATCTCGTGTTGTTAAAGGGGTTAGATGGTAGAATAGATATATAATCTAAATCTCGCCTCCTGTAAGAATATTACAAATAAAAGACGTTAATTATTATTATTATTAAACTCAAGCTTTCCGACAAATTTGTTTTCCCTGTAGATAGAATAGAAATGGAATTTCACACACGCAACACCTAATTTGAAAAACTTTTTTTGTTGAAAACATAAGTTTTGCTGTCTGGTAGTCACGTGGGTTATTTTACAACCGATTGCTGATTATTGAAAAAGGTTGAAAGTCTATGCGCCTGCACCTGGTTTCTATGTAAAACAAGAAATTTTTCCCAGGGTGTTTGATTTGCCGGGTTTACCTGTGTACCTTATTTATATTAAAACATGCAAACCTAAAACATGTGACATGTTAATAAGTCAATATTAAAGTGTGACTTTCAATAATAAGCAATAAAAAATATGATTAAAACGAGGTTTTTGAAATGACCGATTCAATTCGGTATGTCTCCGAATTCCTTAATTATGTCTCATATTTTATTAAAGCCAACGAACTTGCATTTCTCATATCAAAAACCGACAGTGGGAACGGAAAACATCGTATGTATATTCACGCACTGCCTTTTTATAACATTACATACAGGGAGATCGGCAAATATAAATTCGCTCAACTCACTCTACTGATTGCCCTGTTAGCTAAACGAAATAAATAGTCAGAAAAATCAATATGCCAAGCACATCTACTGACAGAACTATAGTGAAACATGAAAGTTGCAAAGCACCGAATACCACATTTCGGCATACTGACGAGCCATTTGAAACATTACGGATGGCAAGGTTAATCTCAGGAGAACATTTGTCGAAAAACAATCTTTTGAATGTTAAACAATAAATATACAGGGTGTTTGATATTTGAACAGACAGAGCTTCCAGAGGCGGACATTTGTCTGATATTATTTTTCATACATAATTTCCAAGTTTCAATAAAAGATTAAGATCAAGAAATGGACGTATTTTATTTCATTTCACAAATAATCAAGATACAAACCAGCCAGTTAAATATCGACCACTCTGTATATTTCGGTAACCGTAGCCCCTAGAACATTGTTTTACCGATCACCCAAAAAATGTTCTCGGTTCATATACCAAACACCCTGTATAATAATAAACAAACATTTCTGCCAAGCATCAGTAAAGGCTGTTACGCACACTAGACGCAATGAATGTGACACTACTGTGGGTGTTTCGAAAATAGAGAATGTATTCCTGCGCAGTAATAACATGAGCATAAATTGAAGAAAAAAATGAAAAAGATGTATGAAAGATTTCATTATGATTTCATGATGACATTGTAAAAACACACTCACCTGTCTTTTACGCGCAAAATCTGTGTATGAAAATGCATTATATTTTCGTAACTATTTTTGTCTGTTACAGAATAAACTAAAAGAAAGCCATCTCCTTTTCTCATATATTGTTCCCTCATCGCACTGAACTCTTCTTGGCCAGCGGTATCCAGCACTGCAACAAAAAAACCAAATCCATGACATTTTGACATAAGATGTTGATACACGCAAATTATTTTAAATTTCCAACAAAGCTGAAGTGCTCTACCATAACTCCTGTTTTTAAAGTTAAGAATTCTGAGTTGTACACCAATATGTGGCCAATAAATGTCCTGCCAGATGTTGAAAAAGTATTCGAAGAAATTATTTACAAACCGATCATCGAATTTCTTGAGGGAAATAACATTTTGACGAAATTTCAAGCTGGATTCAGGAAGAAACAACTAAAACGGTAACACAAATAGATGTATGAACAATAGAGGAACAATGTTTTTGGACTTCAAAAGGGCGTTTGAGACTATTGACAGTGATAAATTACTTACAAAATTGCATCACTACGGATTTAAGGGATCTGTATTAAAAATTCTACAAAACTATTCAATTGACAGAAGTCAAAAAACCAAAATTGGATCTACATTATGAAGATCAAACAATATTTCTGTTGGTATACCACAAGGTAGTAAGCTAGGTCCACTACTATTTACTTTATACATTAATGACATTTGTAATATTTTAGATTATTGTAAACTTCAGATATTTGCAGATGATACATTAATATACATATCAGATGAAAATATAGACACTGCTTCAAAAATGCTAAATTCTGACTTGGCAAAAATCGTAAATTGCTTAAATGTAAATAAACTAAAATTGATTACTTCTAAAACAAAATGTATGCTAATAGGGAAATACCTAAATGAAAATATTATCACAGTTAGGATAAGTGGAGCAATAATTGAAAATGTCAAATCAATTAAATATTTAGGTAATCATATTGGTAGTAAAATTTGAGAATCACTCTGAACACATTATTTCAAAAATTGCAAAAAAAAAAACAAATTATGTATTTTTATGGGGAACTCATAGTCTTGGTACGTGTTCCAAGAAAATAGTTTATAATAAAATGATTCTACCAAATTCACTATATTATTCAACTATTTTGTTCACAACCAATGAAGCTGTATCCTCATAATTACAAGTCCTGCAAAATAAAGCTACGAGAATAATATTGAATAAAAATAAGTACACCAAAATAAAATAAATAATTCGAGTGGTGATGGAATATAAAAAAATTCATATAATATTTGAAATAAAAAAATCATCTTTTGCCACAACATTTAGCCACCTAGAACTGAATTGTCATTACCAAATCATACAAAATATTATACAAGAGGAAATATAGATTTTTATTTACAAAATTGTAATAGTAATATACTAAGTGACATATAAATCCGAACACCCAGTTTAAATGGTTTTATTTTAATAAAAGTTGGTGAATGTATTTATCTTACTGTAAATAACAAGTGAAAGAATTTTCAGCCTTATCAGTTGGACATTCCGGTTTTTATACTGCTTTTTTTTAATTCACTAACGCTCTAAAAATGAATATTTCAGCCGCAGTAAAGAATCAACGTTGGCGGATTTTGGTTCTTGACATCCTTTACGATCGGTTACGATGCCTAGAGTACGGAGACCTGTACGATTTCGTCAACTTAGTGAGTTTGATAGGGGCCGTATAGTGGGACTTCGGGAAGCTGGACTTTCTTTTCGGGCAATTGCAGTTAGAGTGCAAAGAAGTGTAGATACTGTGGTTAGGTGTTGTCAGGCATGGCTTCGAGAAGGCCGTACGCAAAGAGCAAGGGGCACTGGACGCCGCCGTAGAACAACAGACCGTGAAGATCGCCGCCTAAGATTATTGGCCTTAAGGGACCGTTTCTCCACTACCAGGTCCATTGCAAATGAATGGTTTGCAGAACACGGAAGACCTATTGGCATTCGAAGTGTTTACCGACGAATGAGAAGTTTTGGCTTGTTTTCATACCGGCCACACTGGGTCCTCCCTTTAACTCGATAACACCGACGTAATCGCCTTGAGTGGTGCAGACAACGGTCACTCTGGGATCAGGAATGGAACAGTATTGTCTGACGAGTCTCGATTTTGGTTAGGCATGCACGATGGTCGTGCCAGGGTTAGAAGGCGACGTGGTGAAAGGAGGAATCCACAGTTTTTTGTTGAAAGACATGTTCATCACACTGTTGGAGTTATGGTTTGGGGTGCTATAGCTTATGGTTCCAGGTCACCTTTAATCTTCATCAGAGGTAACATGAACGCGCAGCGTTATATCCACGAAGTTCTAGAACCCCATCTTTTACCCTATCTTGACACCCTGGCAGATCCAACATTCCAACAAGATAATGCCCGACCACATGTTGCAAGAGTCACAATAGACTTCTTTCAACATAATGATGTCACATTGTTACCATGGCCACCAAGATCTCCCGACTTATCCCCAATTGAGCACGTGTGGGATATGATGGGTAGGAGATTGCTCAATTTGCAACGTCCTCCTCAGACTCTAGAAGCACTTCGAAAGGAGTTGGTGGTTGCCTGGAATGAGATACCACAGGAGGACATTGACCACCTGATCAGAAGCATGCCTAGGCACGTTGGAGAATGCGTAGCACATCAAGGTGCATCCACACGTTATTAAAGGTCAAAATGCTTTAAAGCAGTGCAATCATTTTGAAATTTTTATCATTTACTTATTATGCTTCATTAAGTACTTATACAAAATTTTATTAAAATAAAACCATTTAAACTGGGTGTTCGGATTTATATGACACTTAGTATATAACTAGCAAATCAATATTTCGGAACGGATTACTTGAATTTAATAAACTAAATAATGATATAAAGTCTACTTGTAATTTAAAAGGAATATTTCATGGAGAATGGAAATTCTTCGAGATGCAAATTTTGTTTTTTTCCAAATATCTGTATGTTATGTAATTGTTTAGTTTTTTTAAAGAATGTAATTCTAGCAATCATGCTAAATAAATCTTAAACAAACAAACAAATTAAATAACGCCTTGTCTTATTTTAATGTCCAATATTGTATAGTATAGCTTGCTTCTGTTAACATATGGACGATAAAAGACACAGAGCTCAAAAAACTGGATATATGTATTCGTAGGATAGCGCTAAAAAAGGATGCTGATACATTTAGTCATAGATAACGAGGATTTATAAAACATCAGCAGCGAACAAGAAGTAGAAAAAACATTAAAATGGAACACGCCTGGGACACGAAATGCAAGGGCAAGATATGAACATATACTGAGTGATAAAAAAAGGTAAACACCTGCGTATGTTTATCCGATTTTAGTAACTTTTGGGATATATGTTCAGTGTCCCTTACCTGACTAAATTTTCAGGCGGCCCAATACCGGTCATTTTGCTTGTTCACAAATCTACTCAAATGAAAATGAGATACATCAGAAAAGAGAGTATGTTCAAACTTGGAAAACGCGTTAACATTGTTTCGGCAAACGCACGGCGTAGATGGTGGCCCTACGGTTTCAATACCTGCACTAGTTGAAGTACGTACGTCTTTCTGGCCCACCCTGTATGTCATACACGATTCCCCCGTCTACTTGGTGGTGTGCATCCATATTGCGAACCTAGCCCGCTTGCGACATATCAAACATTATGAAACGCGCCTTTGTGTCCACGGTGTGTGACTGAGGCGGAAGCCTAGGGCGACCGGACTTAGCGAAACAGCGCGCGTAGTTTTCAAACGTTCCTGTTCCGCGCTTTCTGGCCACACTACGGGCCTAATCAGCAAGCGAACTAGCGCGCGGAGGCGGCGGCAACAAACCAGTTCGGTCTTGACGCTCGGCGTATGCATGAGTATTATTGTATGGTAATGGCGGATACTGAATTGTTTATAAGTGCAACTCAATCTAAGCCACCTATTTGGCAAAGTAAACATCCACACCACAGATATTTTACTTAGGATGTAGTCAAATGCTGACGCGGCATTCGAGTGTAGTCAAAAAATTTGGTAGGTTATAATCTCAGTTCTTCATACTAATGAAAAAAATCACCAGTTGTTTCTTTTGTTTTATTTAGTTCGTGCACGCCATGTTCAGTACCTCCCATCTCAGGATCGGACTGTCTAGTAAAAATACCAAATCGTGGAAGTGATCGCGTGTCACTGTGGACACCGCACACCGGCGCTCGCCTTAGGCACTAGTCACCGCGCATTCAGTATGGACGCACACTTATCCAAATACAGCAGACGCTCGATAACGTAAACACGGGATAATGAAAACTTGAGCTAATGTAAACACAAACTTCGTTCTATGAGATCAAACGGAACGCGCGATAACGTAAACAATGTGTACGCTCGATAACGTAAACAACTCTCGGCGCACGGAAACAGCACGACGGTAAAATGCTGAAGCCTCGATGATTTATGTCGGGCATCGGGGAGTCCCCGATTTATGATGTAGAGTGTAGGGGATTCACCTCTGCGATAAAATACGACAAACTCGGTCAGTCGTATGATCGTTTAGGATACGTTTATACGAACGTATGTATTTCATTTTTGAACTTAAGTGAATACATTGCACGCGTTAATATATTTTACGACTATGGCATCCACATCCTATAAAAGAAAGTGTTTAAAGTTGAGTGAGAAAGTGAAAATCATAGACGAAGTTGCACTAGGTGCGGGAGTGACACAGTTAGCAAAAAAATATGGAGTATCGAAAGCAACAATCTGTAAAATTAAGCGTATGAAAACTCAAATTTTACAGAGAACGTGCAATACATTTGGAGGTCCGGGAAAAAGAAAAACTTTAAAAAATGCGAAGGCACCTAAAATGGAAAATTCCCTGTATAAGTGGTTTTTAAAACAACGGGGAAATCATGTCCCAGTTAGTGGCGAAGTACTTAAACAGAGAGCGAGACTGTTAAATGAAAAACTGAAAGAAACTGAAAATTTCGTAGCTAGTGATGGCTGGCTACAACGATTCAAAACAAGATATGGAATTCGACTGCTGTCTATATCTGGTGAAAAATTATCAGCAAAACCACAATTAGTGCAACCATTCAAAGAAAAATTGATGAAAACAATTACCGAGCTAGATTTAAGAATGGAACAAATTTAAAACGCAGATGAAAGTGGCCTTTATTGGAAAATGTTACCAGAGAAAACCTATGTTGCATCATTCGAAAAATCTGCCCCGGGAAGAAAGCCGGAGAAACAACGAATAACGTTTCTAGCCTGCACTAATGCTAATGGTTCACACAAAATAAAGCCACTGGTAATTGGGAAAGCAAAAAATCCGCGCTCATTTAACAATGTTAATATCCCTGTTGATTATGACTTGCAGTATATTCCTGAAATGGTTCTACAGGTGCTTTGTCCCTTAGGTATGACAATCAATTATCAAAAATGCTCTATTCATAATTTGAAGATGTGTTTTCAATTTGTAGGTAAAAGGTTTCCTAAAACAACAGAAGCTTCCAATAAAAGCGTTGTTACTATTGGATAATGCACCAAGTCATCCTCCCGAGCAACAACTGAGGAGCAGGGATGGGTCAGTTTTCGTCATGTACATGCCGCCCAACGTAACACCGTTAATTCAACCGATGGACCAGAATATAATAAGACTCACCAAACTATACTATAGGAAGTTTCTACTTTCGTCTGTCTTATCAAAGAATCCTGAAAACTTATCTGAGGCTTTAAAAAAAGTAACATTACGAGAAGCTGTTTTAGATTTACATATGGCCTGGAATGAACTTAACCAGCAAACTATCCAAAAATGTTGGAACAATCTCTTTTGTACCAATAATGAAGATGACGAAGAAGACGATGTCCCCTTAAGTGTAATTAGAGAACGTTTGCGATCCAATAATGATAATGTTATTAATGTGTCATTGGATGTTGTTGATTTATTGACAACAGTGAATCCCAACATTGTTTGTACTCCTGCTGATATTAATTTATGGAACGAAGATGAAGATAAGCAGACGAATGATGCTGATAAGGAGGAGGATATGGACAGTGAGGATGATGAGAACGATCCCATTGAAGTCAGAAGTGTAGTGACTGACGCGCAAGCTACACAAGTTTTTAACCAAGCTTTAGATTGGGCTGAAAGAAAAGAAGTTTCTAACACGGATATTTTGGTTCTTCGTAAATTACGGGCGCAAGCATTGGAAGACAATGCTAAGCGCAAATTTACACAGACAAAAATTGTTAATTATTTTTCTTCTAATTAAAAAAATACTTATCGCTGTTAGAATATTTGTTTATTTTGTTATAAATAGTATGTATTAAACGTTTCTTTTAATAAATCAAATATTATATAAATCACGTTCGCTAATGTAAACATTTCGATAATGTGAACTACACTTGGATTAAATTAGTTTACATTATCGAGCGTCTGCTGTATCTTATACACGCCATGCAGATCTAAGGCCAAAATACCAATGTTACCATCCAATATGCACCACTCCCCATCCACTTCAACATGCTGGAGGTAGCTGTCCTCTATGGTCGGATCATAGTCAGTGACGAACAACTTCTGGAAGAACTGGATCGTAATGGCGCTCTTCCCTACACCCCCATCGCCTACTACCACCAATTTGACAGTAGGCAGGTTTTCGTCATTGGGCGGTCGTGTCATTGCCCCGCCTCCAGCCGAGCTCGTACCGGCTCCGTGCCCGCCTGCTCCACCGCCCCCGGATGCACGTCTACTTTTGCCGCCTAAAACGAGGATATTTGCAACACAACTTTTCGGTGAAATGCCAGTAATACAAAGGGTACTATAAAAGTTTTGCAATATGACTTAATAAACGGACGCAGGAGGCGGCATGTAACTGCATGTTGAGACATGTCCATGAGTGCATAGTAGCCGCCACCAGCACGTCTGTTGATTTATTTGTTCATTTGTATTGACAGTGTAAAGTGTGAACGTCAGTAACAGAGGAAAACATTACTGCTGTGAGGAAAATCCTTGACGAAGACTGGAGAGTGACATACCATCAGATGGAGGAGACCTTACACCTTCATGCACCAGCAATTCATTCAATTCTGCATGACCATTTGTAAGTAAGGAATCTTGTTCATGAAGTAAGAAATGATCATGAATTCCGCAATGAGCAATGGAACGACTTTCTGGCGGGGATGCTTGACCTAAGCACTCCTCTCTGGAAGGTGGCGAAGTCGCTCAAAAACGGAAAGCGTGAACAAATCCCACACATCCACGGTCCTGTAGGCATTATCTTCAGGACAGAGGAAAATGTTGCCATGGAAAGACAGTTCTCTCCCAATTATGATCTTGATAATGACCTCGACGAGGAGCAACACATCGTAAGATCTGTCAGGAGACATTTTAGGGCCAACGGCGTCAGTGACAGTCGCGCTACCGTTGGTGATTTTTCTTCATCGGAAGATTCTTCTTTAGAAGCTTCTTCAACCGAATATCTGCTTAGCACATCAGCAGCATCTCCCCAGATCCCGCATTGCACACCAGCAGAGATTCAAGGTCATATTAAAGACCTTAGTGCGTAAAGCACCTGGGGAGGATCGAATCACTAATAAGGCGCTGAAGCTGCTTTCGCGGAAGATCGCTGAAGTTATAATGATTCCAAAGAAGGTGTGTTCGATATTTTCCCAGGATTATCGTTCCATTAGCCTGCTGTCAGCTCCGTCTAAGCTCGCTGAAAAGGTGATTCTACGCCACCTTGAGAATTGCTCGTCTGATCACCATGTGATTCCTGACGTGCAATTCGGTTTTCGGTCTGAATATAGTACGAAGCTACAGGCGGGTAGGCTGGTGTAACGAGTAACCAGAGGATTCACCCTTAACGAAAGTACTGACATCTTGCTTTTGGATGTCTCAAAAGCATTTGACAAGGTGTGACACGCGGAACTAATCCCTTCCATTTTTGGATTCTAAAACTACTGAAATCCTTCCTTGAAGGCAGGAAATTTCGGATCAAAATTAACAATGTCCTGTCGACAACACGGCTGATTACAGCCGGCGTCGCTCAGGGTTCGGTCATTGGACCTATCCTTTACTCACTGTACAGCCATGACGTCCCTAGCCCCAGCAACTGTGAAGTCTATCTCTATGCTGACGATACTGCATTGGTGGCTCAGTCGTGGTCTGGTGACCTAGTCCAAGACAGGCTGCAAAGTGCGGTGGAGGAAGTATTAGATTGGGCGGATCGGTGGCTAATTAAAATTAACCATTCGAAAACGCAGGCATTCGAATGTACAAAAAGACGTCGCGGTGTTCCGTCTGAAGTTTCAATGAATGGACTTCGTATACCATGGGAATCCTCCGCTAAGTATATCGGTGTCATTCTGGACAAAGGGATGACTTGGCGGAACCATACAGAAGCGCTAAAAACTAAATTCCAAATTACGTTTCGACAGCTTTACCCATTATTATGTAAACGTTCAAAATTAAGTTTGATTAACAATATTCGACTCTATAAGGTGGTCATAAGACCAAGAATGACTTAAGCATGTGCGGCTTGGTGTTTTATTGCTAAAACACACATGCAAAATCTGCAGGTTCTGCAACGCAGGACGTTGAGCACTATTACTGACGCCCCATGGTATATATCTCTAACGAAATTCTACATAGAGACCTCGATGCCCCTTATCTAAAGGACTATATTAAGCAACAGGCGCAGCCTAGCGGAATCGCACAGCAACCCTCTGTTGCGTGAGTCAGTGGACTACAGTCGAGCAAGTTCGCAAGCACTGTAATCAAAATTAGTTCGTGAACTTAGAACAACCAAAATTGGAGCATTTTGACAAAATCTTTAGAAAAAATCGAATATTTTTACACCATGTCAAAATCTGTGAAGTATTATTAACAATGCCTAAACGCTGCCTATCCTAAAAGATTCTCTTCTTCCCCTTTGCTCTTGTTCTTCCTTCTTTCCTTTCCTTCCATTTTTTCCTTAAAATTGTCTGGTTTCTGGGTTACCAGACCTGACAGACTTACAAACTGACACTGTGACTCAAGAGCTAAGGTCCCACGGACCGCTCTGACAACCAATGATGACTTAACTTGACGAAGTAAGGAAACTTTGTTCTCTCTGGGTACCGCTTAGTCTGACGGAAGAGCAGAATACTCGTCGTACGACTTGGTGTCGAAAAATGCTGAAAAGGTTTGATAAGGGGCAATCTCGTATGAGAAAAAATGATATCTGTATTTTTCAAATCGAGCGGGATTGGGGAGCGTGTCGTTTTGGACACAAAGAAGATAGTCACAGCTAAGTGGTACATGGAACAGTGTCTTCCCAAAGTCATAGAGTCTATGAAAAACCTGCATCCAAAGTCAAGAATGGACACTTGGTACCTCACGTCAGGTCACTGTACCTGCACCTAGTATTTGACCACTGCTGGACTGAAACTAATTGAGCACTCTCCTTACAGTCAAGATCTTACTCCCTGTGACTTTGCACTGTTTCCGCATGTGCAAATGAAGCTAAAACGAGTGTGCCGCACTCCCTGGTGAAACTTCGCAGAGCTGGTTTAAGGGCTGGTTTTCGCGGATGGAGAAAAGCATTGAATGTGTTGGAAATTACTTCAAACGATGTCAATAAATAAATCTGTATTTCAAAACCTTTATAGTACCCTTTGTATAGATTCAGTAAGAGCACTATTCATTAAATGTGACCCTACTTTTACCATGGAGGTTATTCTGTTGACTCAAGAGTGGATTCTTCATACCTTGGATATAAAATTGTAAGAATGGTAGTGGAGAAAATTGCTTTGTCGAAAGAGAGGTTATGATTGATAAATGGATTGTGATTAATTAAGAGGAAACATGGTTGAGATCTATTCTTAATACAGTGGACCCCCGATAATCCGGCGCCCCCTGTAATAAGACATGACTTTGAATATGTATTACATACATACGCATTTTACAATCTTCGCTAATGTAGATCACGCAGGTTTGAAGAGGCTACAACTTGTACGCGCCACCGCTATCGTGCTCGACGCGTAAGCATTGTTTTACTTAGTTTGAATTTGACTACTGGTGATAGCGGTACGGCCTAGCGTGCGTTCATTGTTTACTATGTATTTATTCATTGTGTATTAAGTATAGTACCTAGTAATGTCATCACAAACTCAGAAGCGAAAGCACGAAACATTGACAATTAAAGAAAAATGTGATATTTTAGACCGCTTAAATCGCAATTAAACTTTCAGTAGTTTAGCAAGTGAATACGGCGTAGGCCGATCTACAAGTTATGACATTAAAAGAAACCACAAGAAGATCAAGAAGTTCGTGTCAACTACTGACTGCGGGCCAGGCAAGAGACAGACACTCAAGAAAGCTGAACATCCAGAAGTGGAAGAAGCTTTGAACATGTGGTTTCTTCAGGAAAGAAATAGGCATGCACCAATTTCAGGACCCATGTTGGCTATGAAAGCTTTTTATAAGGAAATAACAAACAAAGATGATTTTGTGGCCAGCAAAGGATGGCTAGAACGTTTTAAAAGTCGTCATGGCATACGTTTAATGACTATTACATGAGAGAAACAGGTGTACAATGCAGACGGATCAGGGCTTTTTTGGCGTGTGATGCCTAACAAAACTTTCGTTTCTTGTAACGAAAAATCCGTACCTGGACGAAAAGTAAGTAAAGAGCGTGTAACCATACTACCATGTGCTAACGCTGCGGGCACACTCGCGCTTAAGATGATGGTCATTGGGAAATCTAATAAACCACGGGCACTCAAAAACATTGAGTTACACTATTATGGACAAAAAAGTGCATGGATGACAAAGGGCCTTTTCAAAAAGCGGTTTGGTGAATGCTTCGTACCTGAAGTTAGAAAATGGTTAAAAGATCATAATTTTCCTCAAAAAGCGTTGTTGCTTCTTGATAACGCTCCCGGTCATCCGTCTGAAGAAGAACTAACAACTGAGGATAAATGCATCACTCCGATGTTTCTTCCGCCAAATTGCTCTGCACTGATTCAACCAATGGACCAGAATATCATTCAGTTTGTCAAGCAAGACTATAAGAAAAACCTACTTCTGAGAGCCGTATCAAAAGACCAACCAATAGAAAAAACTTTAAAAGAATGTAATATGAAAGACTTGGTTTTTGTTCTTTGTCAGTCGTGGAATGCGTTACCGTATTATATTAAATCGTCTTGGAAAAAGTTATGTCCAGATATAGTCACCACTCCTAGCAACGTTCCACAAATCAGTATTACTTTGGAAGTTATAGAACAAGTCGCTACTTAAAGACAGATAAGTCCAGAAGATTTGGAAATCGGGTGCTGTGGAACGGATAAAGAGGAAAATGTTTTTCATGAAATGTCTGATGAAGAGATTATAAAAGAGGTTTCTAATTATACAACGACGTGATTTGCAACTGCTCCACAAGTCACAGCACAAGACGGAACTAACGCCTTTGAGCTAGGTTTACAATGGGCTGAAGAGAATGGTACATCCTACAACGAACTTTTACTTTTGAGAAGACTGCGGGACAAAGCTCTAATCTCGCGTTATAACAACCTTAAACAAAAAAAAATTGATGAATATTTCCAAGCTTCATAATTTGATAAATTCATTAATGATTTTGATTAATAATTCTTGATTATTTTGGTACATATGTATGTGCATTTATGCTTAATTTTATAGTAAAACATAAGCTCTCTATTGTTATTTAATTTACTAAATTCAACATACATAAACTATGTATGATTTGTACTTCAAGTACATACATATACATAACATATATAATCTTACCATTGGATATGTAATTTGTCGGATTACAACGTACTCTTTTGTAAAAAATTCCGGACTATAGGGGGTCTTAGGCAGTGTTCTATAATCCGACAAATTCAATAGTCCGACACTGCCCCGCATAATATTTGTCGGATTACTGGAGGTCCACTGTAACTCTAAAATTTGCCCAAAGTTCCTTGATATGGACATATTCTACAGTAGTAGTTGTAATGAAACAATCTCTTGTGGCTACCTCCTCTGTATAGACTCAAATTTATCAATAATACTGACTCATTACTTGACGAGGTCGAATGAGAGCTCATTATCCAATGGTACTAAGGTTGCAGTTACATCCACTTTTTTACAGAGATCCTTAATGCTGTATTTTTAATATCATTGTTGTTGGGTAAGCCCAGGAAGGGTTTTGAGTGTTTGCAAACAATCTAGCTGTAGTCAAATGTTTCATTTATGTATGGATCAGGTATTTCTATGTACATTCAGGTGCTATTCCAAAACAACTCAAATAAAGGAGCATAAAAGTTCAACACGAATCTGATGATAACCAATTATAATTTGTCAGATCTCTAACAAAACACACAGTGCATCATTCTATAGGCACAAATCAAAACCCTAGCACTGTTCATGTATAGATGTAAAATAGGCCTCAGATGATTCTTGAACATGACATTTTGTATTCTTTGTTTATGGCAAATATTGTATGTGTAAACACGTTTGGTAGGTATCTAGGTAGCCAGACCTGATAGACTAGACTATCAAACTGACGAGATGTTTAACTAAGAGCAACAAATAGTAGATGCAGATGCCCACCTAATATGGCAATACTGTGAGTCACTGCAGATTCTACTGCATACTGGGCTATACAGCCCACTATAAATCATGTACTATGAATGCATAGCTACAAGTTAAAACCTCCATGGTATAAAGTTTGTTAAGAAATTATAGTTATGTTTGCTACTGTATCCTTTAAGAGCAATATGATATCATACCTATTGTGCCTGATATTCTAAAACCTGAAGAAAGGAACTCCACCAGTTTGCCTAAAGAAAAGAACTACTGTGAATAATTAACATTCCCCAAAACAAATGAAACAATTTTACATGTAACGCCTACTTTCCAAAAAGGGCAGGTATTATGAACATCTTCATAATTTTTTATAACTATCCAAAAACTGTCAAAAAGGTATGTTAATGCTTACCTGGATGTCATATTTATCCGATATAGTCTTGGTGTCCTCGTGAACTTAATTGTTTACCTTAAATTATTTTTTATTTTCTACAAAATTATAAAAAAATAAATCAATAATGATTTTAATCATCTGTGAACTGTCAGGAAAATGACAATTGACAATCGAGGCGGCGACTGAAAAGTGATGGGGTGTTTCGAATCAAAATATTCGTGATCCTCATCACTCATCCCTAACCTCTTTCTCACCGACCAACGAATACGAATAGTTATAAATATGGCACCAACCACACGTACAGATTTGAAGCATGACCGATTTTAAGAAAAACAAAACCTACTATTGATACTGGGTTATAATTTTTATTTCATTTATTTATTGATTAAAGTGTTTTCTCTATACACATACCATAAATAGTAGAGGTGTGCAAAATTAAACTTTTTCTTTCTCCTCAAACTGGTTGCTATTTTTTGAATGCATATGCATGTGAAATTAAATACAGCTTTACTTTCACTTCCTAAGCCAAAATGCTAAATAAAAGTGACGCCATTCTAAATCCAAAATGGCAAATCACATTTTTCTCAGACACTCATCGGGGTATCATCCAATATGGCGGCGGCGTCAAAATGGCGATTTACATTTACAAAGTTACTCCTAAGATACGAGGTATTAAATGAAATGGCGCGATGATGAAAGCGCCGTCATTCTAGATCCAAGATGGCGTTTATAATTATTATAGACACCACTGTGATATAGATATCAAATTAAAGGGCTTCGTGAAACAAAGATAGCAAGCAACGCGACATCATTCTAAATCCGATGTAGCGACTACCACAAAACGGCGATTTATAATTTTCATATTCACCCCGATACTATGGGTATCAAATGAAAGGTCTTGATGAGGGAAACATAATAAGCAAAGTGACGTTATTCTAAATCCGTTATGGCAAATCACATTTTTCTCAGACATCACAAAATGACATGGGGAACATGCTAGATCCAATATGGCGGCCGCGTCAAAATGGCGTTTATACTTACCATAGTCACCACTGTGATATAGATATCAAATTAAAGGGCTTCGTGAAACAAACATAGCAGGCAATCACCACAAAATGGCGATTTATAATTTCCGTATTCACACCTATACTATCGGTATCAAATGAAAGGTCTTGATGAGGGAAACATAATAAGCAAAGTGACATGACTGTAAATCCTATATGGCAAATCACATTTTTCTCAGACATCACAAAATGACATGGGGAACATGCTAGATCCAATATGGCGGCCGCGTCAAAATGGCGTTTATACTTACCATAGTCACCACTGTGATATAGATATCAAATTAAAGGGCTTCGTGAAACAAACATAGCAGGCAATCACCACAAAATGGCGATTTATAATTTCCGTATTCACACCTATACTATCGGTATCAAATGAAAGGTCTTGATGAGGGAAACATAATAAGCAAAGTGACATGACTGTAAATCCTATATGGCAAATCACAGTTTTCTCAGACATCACAAAATGACATGGGGAACATGCTAGATCCAATATGACGGCCGCGTCAAAATGGCGTTTATACTTACCATAGTCACCACTGTGATATAGATATCAAATTAAAGGGCTTCGTGAAACAAACATAGCAGGCAATCACCACAAAATGGCGATTTATAATTTCCGTATTCACACCTATACTATCGGTATCAAATGAAAGGTCTTGATGAGGGAAACATAATAAGCAAAGTGACGTTATTCTAAATCCGAAATGGCAAATCACATTTTTCTCAGACACCACAATGACGGGTATCATGCTAGATCCAATATGACGGCCGCGTCAAAATGGCGTTTATACTTACCATAGTCACCACTGTGATATAGATATCAAATTAAAGGGCTTCGTGAAACAAACATAGCAGGCAATCACCACAAAATAGCGATTTATAATTTCCGTATTCACACCTATACTATCGGTATCAAATGAAAGGTCTTGATGAGGGAAACATAATCAGCAAAGTGACGTTAACCTAAATCCAACATGGCGACCGCCCCAAGATGTGGTTTACAATTACCATAGTCATCCCCTGTTATGTAGATATCAAATTGAAGAACTTTATGAAGCAAAGGTAGCAAGTAACGTGACGTAATTCTAAACCTTATATGGCGACCCCCACAAAATTGCGATTTATAATTTCCATATTTACACCTATATTATGGGTATCAAATGAAAGGGATTCATGAGAGAAACATAATAAGCAAAGTGACGACATCCTAAATCCAATATGGCGGCGGCAGCTAAACAGCGATTTATAATTTCCATGGTCACCGCTTTGATATGGTATCAACTGAAAGGGGTTAATGAGAACAGACTAAGCGAATAACGTAATTCTAAATTCCATAGAATATGATGATCGCCGCAAAATATCGATTTATCGTTAGATGATTTATATCTATCGAAATATCGAAGACAAATAAAGATGTTTTATGGAGTCCTGTTAATGGAATATGTACCTATATGAAAATTATGCGAAAATTGAAGAATGACTAAAATAAAAAATACAAGCTTTTATTTAGTTGTTAATATGGTTAACTAAAAATTTAAAATCATTTTTTTCGATTTGGAATATTTAAACGATAATGAAGCTTTAGATGAAGTGGTAGAATATTTCCAATCGGAAAAGATTTTTTATATTTTTAGATCACATTATCAACACCTAAAAAAAATTGTTTTTGTTTTTGTTTCTTCAATTTCATATATTTCAATATGGGTTGAAACACTACGAAAAAGCAGCTTGTATAGAAGTACTACACGCATATCTTTTATTATAAAATAAACATATATCTTTATAAAGTCATCAATAACTGATATACGTATAATAAAAATAATAAAATTACAGGCTATATGCCACGATCCATTTTTTATACAGAAAATACGTACTTTAGTAGCATGCATTATTAATATGCCTCCAATATTTTTTCATGTTTATGAGTGATGCTAAGCTGTTGCAAATATGGAGTGACTGTTTTATTTCCTACATACACTAATACGACCAAAATTGTTTAGCAAACATCCGTAGGAAGAAGAGTGAAGAAAACACTCGATTTTTAGTATAGATCGTGACACACTTGTACTTGACTAAAAACTAAACATCAAATTTTTAAAGAGTCCAACACAAAAAAGGCAAATATTATGGTTAATCTACACTTCATAGATTGAGTGATACTCGCCATAACAGGATATGGCAGATGAACATACGTGTGCTTTACATATTACTCAGCATCGTGGTACTGCACCCTGAAACATATTTCTTACTTCAGTTCTGATGAATATTTATGTCAACAGTTATTCAAGTAGCAGTTGAAAATGACCTTTAGGTATAGGGCGGGCCATTAGGCAAAGATATTCAGGGTGTTCCTTAATGATATGCGAATATTTAAGGGTGTGAATCTACATGAAAAATTTATGTTAGTTTGCTTTATAAGCTATGGTCCAAAAACGTTTCCTTACAAAAACTCGGGGTGTTGAAGTTTTAGGAAAAAAAATGGAAATTAATTAATATTTTCAGAACCGCTTCAGATATTCAACTGATATTTAGTACGTAGTGAAAGTTAATAAAGTTGCATATTTTTCAATACAGAAATAATTTTTTGCTTTAACAGTGGCGTGCGTACGGGTATTGACTTCGATATTTTTTAATTTCCCGTTCAATTTAAAACAAATGATCTCTCTTTAATTGTATTCCTTCGATGCGCCATTTTTGAGTAAAAAAATAAAAACCGTTCTATTGTCTAACTTGCAAAATTATTATTAATTTAACTGGAAAAATTAACCACATTAAGGGTAATGAACAACAACAACTGACAACATAAACATAACATTAAAACCAACGAAATGATTACAAAAATTGTTGAAAACGCCCTTCTTCACTCAGTATGCATGCTTCCGCCTTCCTCCTCATGGAATTGAGCACTCGTTGAAATATTCCTAGAGGGATTTTTATTCCATCACAAGCTGCAACTATTCTTTCTCTTAATTCCTCTACAGTGTTAATGGGACTTGTGTACACTAGTATCTTAAGATAGCCCCACAAAAAGAGATCTAAACTGTTGAAGCCTGGGGACCTTGGTGGCCTTTCTTGGGGCCCACCGCGGCCAATCCAACAACTTGCTCTTGAAAACTTTTTTGTGGTTGCCTGATTCCATAATATTTTCAATTCGTTATAATTATTACGGCAATTTTCCTTGATAATCCATTTTAAGGCTCGGTATTGGAATAACGCGGGTGACTTCCAGTTCCGAGTTTTTGAGGCACAGATCCCGTTGTTTTGTACAATATAATAATATGTCAAACTATATACCTCGATTTGTTAACACTGTTGGGAAGCATTTTGGCCTTTTAAATGCAAGTGAATGATCACTTTTCTTATTTCGTCAGAAACAGCTTTACCACGAGCCATTTTAAATGCAGTTAAAGTTGCTTTAAACGTCAAAAATCAGCTTCTTAGCAATGTGAAATTTTATCTTTTGTTTTAGAAAACCTTGGGTAGTTAAGGTTTTCAAAATGGGTAGAGGAAAGCTTATTAGTGAGAAAATTCGGTTACCGATAATTAAATTTTTTAATTCTGGGAAATCAAACTCAGAAATTGCAACTTTGTTAGACTTATCGCGGTTCAGTGTGAGAAATATTGTTAGAAGATATAACGTAACTGGTTCGGTTAAGATTAAGCCACCATATGTGAAAAAAAGTAATATCACAAATGCTGACCGAAGAGCATTAAGAAGAATACTCGTGAAAACTAACAGGCATGCCAATTATTTACAATTAAGTGCTCTGTGGAGTGACGCTGTTGGAAGGAGAATTTCGAAGTCCACAACTCATAGAGAGGCCCACAAACTGGGATTTAGCACTTGCAAGGTAAGTTTTCTTATAAAAAAAGCGAAGTAAAAACCCTAAAGTTGCACAACTTGTTTATAGGCCAAAGAAAAGATACTATTAACTCCACTGCAAAAGAAAAATTGGCTTAGATTGGCTAAAGAACATAAGACAATGGACACCTCAACAATGGTGTGCAATACAATGGAGTGATGAGGCCCGATTCGAAGTTTGTGTTGGTGACAGTCGCAGTAGAGTTATTCGCAAAAAAATGAAGCATTCCATGTTGACTGTCTGAAAAGAAAAGTGAAATTTCCAGCATCCATTATGGTCACAAACAAATATTTGGCAATTTTAGAAGAATCGCTTTTACCAGTGATGGAAGAATGTTTGACATCCGGCCAAGATTTTGTGTTTCAGCAAGATGGTGCAGCGTGCCATACCTCAAAAAAGGCTATAAAATGGATGGAAGAAAATAATGTACCACTTTTGAAATGGGTTTCTAGCAGTCCAGATCTGTCACCTATTGAAACTTTGTGGCACGAGATGAAAAAGGTTCTACGACAACATCGTACAATCACCGAACTGAGACAAAAGCTTCAAGAAATATGGGATTGTTTTACACCAAATTTTTGCCAAAACTTGGTTAACACTATGCCCCAAAGAATTTCAGCCGTAATAAAAAATAAAGGTGATTTTACCCAATGGTAATCTTTCAAAGTCAATACCCGTACGCACGCCACTGTTAAAGCTAAAAATTATTTTTGCATTGAAAAATATGCAACTTTATTAACTTTCACTACGTACTAATTTTTAGACTATAGTTTATAAAGCAAACATGAATTTTTCATGTAGATTCACACCGTTAAATATTCGCATATCATTAAGGAACACCCTGTATATTTTTATATGTCAATTTTACTGTCATTCTTTACGCGTTTATTTCCTGTAATAATGTTTTTCATTAAATGCATTTTGTAAAACGAACTCTTATACACAAGAGCATAGAACTTGATGTTTATTATTGGATGTTCCTGGGATCGGGTGAAAACCTGTTGGAATGAAAATTATTATTACTATTTTTTAAACTTCAACGTCCAGACACATGTCCATATGAACTGTCTTCACAAAACGATCTATCTTCCTACCATCATTAGGAATCACCCTAAAATTAGAAATACCAAACGATTCGAACCCATATTCTTTAAGCTCACCTCTCTTTCTTCGTGAGCCGCTTGCTCAGCCTCCGTTCTCGTTCCTGCGTGCTCAGCGTGAACCGCTGTACCGGCTGCCTCTTTACGCGTAATTCGCGCTCGTCCACTTCCCGCGCTCTCTCCACTTTCTTCATGAACTTGTCGATCAACTCGCGGCACGACATATGCTCTTCCGGCTCCCAGCTATTGTCCGCGGTGCCGTATCCTTTCCAGCTGACCAGAAATTCTCTGGAGCCGTCTCGTTTGAAGTAGACGTCCAAGATGCGTTCGACCTGGAGAATATCCGTTAGCGATTAATAGCGTCGCGTCACAGCCATGTAGTAGTAGTATACGAGTACGTTTATTTTCCCCCAAAATACAATGAGTTGATAAATACAAATGCTAACTTCAGTACAACAATAAGTAAAATAAAACATAATACCTTTCACACAATAATTTTAAGTTAACATGTTTTATAAGTCACAGAAAATTTTTAAATTGTGTTGTAAAGCCCATTGAAACCAAAACAGTTAGTTGTGCATGGGCAGTTTTTTTTTTCGATATACTTTTGATAATAAATTTTGCTTAGATTAAGATTTTATACAAGCACATTATAAGTATGGAAGGTAAGGAGAGGTAGCACTTGTATAATAAAGTTTATTGCGCTAAGGGGCCGTTCAAGTATTACGTGAGCACTATGGGGGGGCGGGGGGTGTCTTTGCTTTGCTTATTTTGGATGACATGGGGGGTAGGGGAGTCTAGATGATGATTACGCCATCGGTAGTTATTTACTTTTTTACACGAATGGCAACCCTCACATTGTCTTTGCTTGAAAACGAAACGCATTTTCGGGGATTTCCGCAAATAATGCATACGTTTAGTGAACAGCGCGCGGTAATTTCCCTATTCGCGAGTAGGGGAATTACCGCGCGGTGTTCACTCATCTAAATTTCCTCTACCAGTGTATTGTTTCGTTTGGATACTATAGCGAGTAGACGTATTGTAAGCGTAGTAAAGCAAGTTAACATTTGTGTTACCATTGATTCCATTAGCGAAAGTTTAATGTTTAAATAAGATGTCGTTTCACATAGACAAATCCAAGTTATACCAAAAATTGTTTGAAAGTTTTAAAAAATCCCATACAAGTACGAAAGTACAAAATGTGCAAAAGTTAGTTAACGAAGTGTGGCGACATTATAGGTACCTATGAGTACTAGAAATATTAGAAATCGCCAAAGTTTCTCTTTACTGATTAGAAAATATTATGGCCTATCTCAAAGTATAGAGGTAATATTCATTATATTATAGATTTATTTCTTATGATTGATTCCGTTAATTGGTCACAAAGTACAGGATGTTAGTTTTATACATATATATATAGAAAACTAACACCCTGTATTTTGTGACCGGAAGGAATTGCTCGCTTAAACATATGATTTAAAGCCATAGGGTTTTGTATTTACCATATATATTGCCATACTTTGTATTTATGTAGCTTAATAAGAGAATCTTTAGCAGAAGCCATAGAAAGTTTTTATTTTTAGGCAACCTGTAAACCTGCAGAAAAAACACAAATTATACAGTCAGCTTCAAATATTAAAAAAGAGGAAGAAGATAAAATAAAAGCCGGTAATGAATCACAACAGCAATGCGAAATTAATGAAAATACAGATAAACAGAGAGGAAAACCTTCTCAGGAAGCTATGAAAAATAAGATTGCTCTACTCGAAAAAAATCTGAATGATTTGTATTCTGCCAGAGATACTATGCCAAGCCGTGCTGAAGTTGATAAACATATTATTAAGTTGCGCGAGGAAATAAAAACAGCAAAACAGTCTTTAAACAGGAAGGTTCAAAACGCAGTTGCCCCGAAGAAACACAGGGATGGTATGAAAAGAAAGTTAGAAGATATTTGTCATGAAAATTCAGAAATAAAAAAAGACTATCTCTGAGGGATTCACTGGAAAGTCCTAATCTTGAAAGCAATCAACATTCACTATTGAAAACAATCGCGGATATAGCTTTATTTGGGAGTGCAGCAGATGACAGAAGACGAACGGAATCAATTCGCAGCGTAAAAACTCTTGATGAACTCACACCAGAATTACGTAAAATAGGATTTGACATTAGTCGCAGTCTGACATATCTTCGTTTGATTCCCAGAAAATCTAATTCTGCAGAGGGACGAAGACATGTATCGACAGTCCCTGTTAAGCTCATTCGGGCTCAAACTGATCACCACAAAAGCCTCTTAGATAGCAAGTTCGCTGAAACATCAATCCATTATGTAGAGAACATAGCATCCATACTTGCACCAGATCAAGTATTTTTTATATCTCAAGATGATAAAGCTCGAGTCCCTATTGGCGTAACTGCGGCAAATAAGCAAGCACCTCTTCTAATGCACATGGAATATAGAATCAAATTGCCTGATCACGATTCGGTAATCGCTGAGCGTCATAAATTAATAGCATCTGTTTATGCTGGTATCAAAATCACTTCCAATATGCTAGGACAACCGCAAGATGTTGGATATTCTGGACCAACATACATCGCTATTCGAAGTGGAAAGCATAGTTCATCTACTGCTAATACTCGTGCTCAGGATTTCGAGACGCTTCTCGAACTTGAAGAGTTTCGACCATTAGCTAAAACTGGCCATGGGATAGTAAAACCAGTGGTAATCATGACGGTTGATGGAGGGCCAGATGAAAATCCACGTTATCAAAAAGTCATAGGGTTTGCTATACAATACTTTGAGCGACACGATCTCGATGCATTGTTTTTAGCTACCAATGCTCCTGGAAGAAGTGCGTATAACAGAGTAGAGCGCAGAATGGCTCCTCTTAGTCGGGAACTGGCTGGTTTAATATTGCCTCATGACCATTTTGGGTCTCATTTGGATGAACGTGGCGTTACAATTGATGAACATTTAGAAAGATCTAATTTCGAATTTGCAGGAAATGTATTAGCTGAAGTATGGAGTTCAATAGAAATTGATGGCTATAATGTTAATGCAAAATATGCAGGTGAACAAGATCTTTGTCCAAAAATTCAACTAGCCTATTTGTCAATATTTTCTCAAATATTTTAGCTATAATTATGATGACAGATATTGGTCTATAGTTATTTATACTTTTTACAACACCTTTTTTATGGACAGGTGTAACTAAAGCTACTTTGAACCCTTCTGGGACTTCATTAAAAATATAAATCCGGTTGATTAAGTGACATAGCGGCATTGAAATAATGTCAGCAGTATATTTAAATATTTCGGACTTCAAGTTGTCAAAACCGAGCAATTTTCCATGTTTTAATGTGTTAATGATTGAGGTTACTTCAGTTACATCTACCGCCTCTGAGAAAAATGTACTTTGATTTATTTTTCTTTGCGGTCTATTTGTGTTTGGCCTCACAATGCGTTCAGCATAGTATTTGCCAATATTTACAAAGAAATCGTTCACCTTATTCGCAATTGTTATTGGCGAATCACATTATTTATTTTCATCAACTATTTCCTTAACTGCACATTTAGAACTGCCTTCCACAAGTTCTTAGGAGTATCTTTGTTTTTATTTATTTGTTTCTTGTAAAAATTGTATTTAGCATTTCGTAAGAGCTTTTCTGATTTTTTCTTATATTCAAGATATCTTATCATCACCTGCTCATTTTCTGGCTGCATCAAGTACTCATAATATAGACGATTTTTTTCATTAACAGAATTTACAATACCTGATGTGATACAAGGCTTTCGCTTGATCTCGCGCCTATTTAATTTTTTTGTGGTTGTACTATAAGAGTTTCGCAACATGACTTAACAAACGGACGCATGTTACTGCATGTAGAGACATGTCCATGAGTGAATAGTAGCCCTCAGCAGCACGTCTGCTGACTTAGTTGTTCATTTATATTGACTCTAGCGAGGGAACAACAGTGCATGCAGCATGCACACATTCTGGCCCCGCCTACGAAGTCCGCAGGGTGGTACCTCCGCGTTCGACAGTCTACCACCTACGGACAATCACAACATCCATAGCCAAGACAAAATTTTCTCTTGGGACGGGATTCGAACCCTCGCAGCTCACGGCGAATGATCAGGAGACCGAAGAGCCTACCACCGCTGCAGCCTGTGGAGTTTTTGAAATATCGCTAAACAAGTGAATGTCGCAAAGTCTACGGTGGCAGACATTGTAAAAAAGTACGGAGACATGGCTTAAACTCAAGTTTCAAAACACGGCGGTGTTGGTAGGCCACGTAAGATCAGTCCTAGAATCCAAAGATATCTTCTTCGTATTTGTAAAGCTTAAGGGACATAACGGCAAAATGGAATGAAGACTGGAAAAAGATCATTTTTAGCGATGAATCGAAGTTTGATGTTTGTATGGGTGACCACCGATCCCGGGCTTTAAGAAAAAAAAACGAAGCGTTTCATAACGACTGCCTAAAGAGAAAAGTAAAGCTTCCATCAGGTTTAATGATATGGGGCAGTATATCTGCTTTTGGCTTTGGAAAACTTCATTTAATAGACGGAACTGCAAACGCAGCTGAATATCAAAACATCGGTGTTGCCAGTTACAACGTTGGGAACCATATTTTTAAACAACCCTCGTAATAGGAATACGAATGTCTATAAAAACACACGTCCAGGCGCTGGACTTTGGACTCAGGGACAGTTTTGTTTTACTACAACAAACTAAATTTAAAAAATCAGCGAAAAGCGATTTTCCATACGATAAAATAACAGGGTTTTTTAAACTAACTTCAAAATCTTCATTTTCGTCCCAGTCCGCCTCCGCATTTTCGGACCCTGCCTTCTTTTTAGTCTTCGCTGGCTTGGCGGTCTTTTTGTTTTTCTTTTGCTCTTTGAAATCCTTTATCAAGTCAGTACAATTTAAGGTATTTTCAGGTTCCCAAGTGTCACTCTCCTCTTCATAGCCTTTCCATCTGATAAGATAATGGCGGACGCCTTTCACCATTTTCTCGTCCAGAACTTTCTCTACCTATAACCAAAGAGACATATACGTCAAAGTGACGTGACGAGCGAACATCATTTTTGGTCGATTCCGATCTTGAATATTTAATTAGTGGCGAAACTTAGCTGTTCTGTAAGTAGTTTTAGGTATATCAAGTCTGAGCAGGAGCCCCGCAACATATATGAGCGTCTCCCAAGGGGGCTTGCCCCCTGGAAAGAAAAGGAAGGAATCGAAGGATTCAATGGATGCAATTATTGAAGATAATTCCCAGGTCGGTAATGATAATACAATTGACTATGATCTACAATCAGGAGTAATGCAGGTAGAACTTCCAACATTATCTCCCAAAAAAGCAGATCGACCGCTTTTAACATATAAGCAAACTGATAAGAGCCCCTATCATGTTTATATCGAAAACAATGAACCAAATTTCTCAGGTAAATTAAATCCAGTTAAGGTTGGTGAAACTATTCTCAAAAATATTCCTGAAGTTGACAACATGATTAAAAGAATTGAATCGATTGGACGCAATAGGGTAAGGATTGTGTTCAAAAATCCATCATCAGCAAATGTCCTGTTAAATAAAACGATTTTATTCAAAAATATCAATTTAGACGTTTATATACCCAAATTCATTTTATATAGACAGGGTGTTATTTCGGTGGACAAAGACTTATCAAACGAATACTTGTTGGAGAGGATCAAACCTTTCGATTCTCACTGCATTTTCTCGGTGGATTCGGTTAAACGCATGCACCGGAAATCAGATCAAAATGGTGACATTAAATATCTACCTATAAATAAGGTTGTAGTTACTTTTCAAGCGCAAGAATTGCCTAAGCGTGTTGCTATAAATCACGTTCTTTTTGATGTAAATCATTATATACAGAAGGTAATTCTGTGTCATAACTGTATGCGTTATGGTCATTTGGGTAAGCAATGTAGAAGCAAGCCTAGGTGTGCAAAATGTCACGAAGAACATGTTACTAGCTCATGCCACAACGACTCTTTGGATCAAAAATGTTTAATTTGCGATGGCAGTCACTACTCATTTGAAACCTCAAAATGTAATGAATTTGAGAGGCAAAAGGCAATTAAAAAGCATATGGCAATGACTAATTCTTCTTTTAGAGACTCAAACAATGCGGTCCCAAAAACCACATATGCTTCAGTTACCAAAAATAATCCCATTACGCCTCAAGAAATCAATAGTTCTAATCTTCCATCTCAGTCAACAAAAGCTCAAACATCAATAAATATTCCAAATGCGAATTCGCACTTTACACAAAGGTTGTCTAAACCTTTGAAACGGAACTCGCCTTCCTCGCCAGATTTGACAGAAGAAGCTAGGAGACAAATTGTGAGTCAAATAAACACTCCACAGGTACCCGGGGGTATCACTAATAACCCCAGTTACTGTGTACATGAATTTAATACGAGAGATGAGACGTTCATCCAACAAGTTTCAGAATTGGTTATATTTGTTCTTACAAATTTTAGAGAAACAAACATTAACAGCTTGAATAAATCAACTATAACTAATCTCATAAGAGAAAGATTAAATATAGACAAATAAATTTAAGAATTAAGAAAATTACAGTATATTTTTAATCATTTTACACTTTTACCAAGGTGTTCGTACGTTATAAAAAACATAAAATAGAATCTATACAATGCATTTAGAAACCACAATGAATTTTTTGAGGATATGTCAATGGAACTGTAGATCGGCTATAGCAAATAAAGGTAATTTGGAACACCTTTTAGAAGAACAAAATGTGGACATCGCACTTTTGTCTGAAACCTGGTTTAAAATGAATACATATGTAAAATTTAAAGGTTATAACGTTATCCGTCAAGACCGGTCAGATGGCAAAGGAGGAGTGGCTATACTGATGAGAAATAGTTTAAAATATTCTCAAATATCATTAGTTGCTTGTAATAAAATAATGAAAGTATGTTCTACAGTAAAGTTTCAAGGAATCTCAGATATTACATTCGTATCAGTATATATTAAACCACAAACCAAAATCACTAAACAGGAATGGATACAATTTTTTAGTTCCTTACACAGTCCATGTATTATAGGAGGTGATTTTAATGCACATCACACTTCATGGGGTTGTGCTCAGGATGACGTATTTGGGAAAATCCTGATTGAAGCTCTAGATGACAGTAATCTCAGTTTTATTAACAATGGAGATCCAACTTATGTAAAATATCAATCAAAATCAGCAATAGATCTTACATTATGTTCACCTCAAATTCATCATCAGCTAGAATGGCGAACCTTGCCAGACCCATATGGTTCAGATCATTTGCCTATACTTATCAATTGTAATTTTACTCCAGAAAAATTGTCATTTGCATCAAATAGAAAATGGAACATAAACAAAGCTTGCTGGAATCAGTTCTGTTTCGAGAGTATAAATAGATCTTATGTAGAACCTGTTATAGATTACAGCACTTTCATCAAAAATGTTAACCAGTCAGCTGAAGCTTCTATTCCGAAATATGAAAACAAAAATAATGTCAAAGGAAAACCATGGTGGACCAATGAATGTACTATAGCAGTAGAAAAACGTAAGGATAGTTTTAGACTATATCAGACAAACCCAAACCTCGAAAACTTACTTAATTTTAAAAAACTTGACGCGAAGGCCAAACAAATATTCAAAAAGGTTAAAAGAGAAAGTTGGCGTCAATATTGTTCATCTTTAAATAGTAACACCCCACTTAAACAAATTTGGAAGCAAGTTAACTTGTATAAAAATAGGCGACAGAGTAATTATCATGTTATAGAAGCTTCAGCAGAGTGGGTACAGGAATTTCATTGTAAGTTGGCCCCAAATTATGTAAGTAACAACAAAGAAGAAGAAGAAAGAAGAATCTCAACGTGGACTAACCATGAACTGATGCAACCTTTTACCTTGATAGAATTACAGAGAGTCTTCAAACAGAACAACAATACATCTCCGGGAAAGGACCAAATTCATTATTCGATGTTATACCAACTACCTACAACAACGAAACAATCGTTATTGGATATTTTTAATCAAATATATTGTGGGAATGCTGAAATACCGAAAGATTGGTACGATTATATAATTATTCCAATTCTGAAACCTGGAAAACCAGAACATCATCAAGATTCATATCGTCCCATTGCACTAGCTTCATGCGTTTTGAAAACTTACGAAAGACTCATCAAGAACAGGTTGGAATTCTACTTGGAGAAAAACCAATTGCTCCCAAGCTCGCAATTTGGATTTCGAAAAGGACGGTCTACTCAAGACTTACTGATAAAGTTAACAACTGATATCCAAATTGGATTTTCGAATAACACGCATACTTCTGTAATATTTTTAGACGTTATGGGAGCTTATGATAATGTAGACTTGAATATACCATACAGTAAAATTATAAATATTGGTCTTCCAAAAGAACTTGCCAACCATTTGTTATTACTGTATAGCAATAGAAACATTTTCATCAGAGCCTCTGAGCAGACTATTGGACCACGATCAACATCTAAAGGACTAGCACAAGGGAGTATATTGAGTCCCATCTTGTATATAATATATTCCTATGACTTTGAAAGAGCTTTTAATTCAAGAGATGCTAAAATATATCAGTTTGCAGATGACTATGCCATTAGTATCCAGAACAAAAATTTATCTCAATCTATGGAACTTCTAGAAACAGCGACTTCCATAGCACACGAATGGTTTGAAAATAATGGATCTTCCATTGCCTACTCAAAATCTTGTGTATGTACGTTTACCAGATCTCGTCTTAGTCCTCCAAATATCATCACTCTGGCTGGGCAGAATATATCCTATAAAACTTCTGTCAAATATCTAGGAGTTATCCTAGATAAAAAACTTAACTGGAAAGAACATATTACATACATATTAAAGAGAAGTCAGAATGCTTTTAACATTCTGAAGTCCTTTTCACATCGGAAATGGGGAGCAGATCCAGCAGTGTGCTTAACCTTTTACAGGACCTTAGTTCGATCAATCTTGGACTACGGATCAATACTTTATGGAAATGCATCTAGAATTCATCTTCAAAAAATAGAACAGATCAAAAATAAGTGCCTTAGGCTATGTATCGGATATTTGAATAGCACTCCCATCAATGTCATGGAGGTCGAATGTATCGAACCTCCTCTTCAATTGAGACGACAAATGTTGAGCGACAAAGCCCTGGTTAAACTGGTCAGCAGGGGATTCATTAACGAGATCCACCAATTGTTTATTCATGGACTAACAGCGAAATACTGGCAACACAAAAGGCTTCCTCTGATCATAGAGAGTTATGAGTGGCTTCTTCCTACCGTCAAGAAGGTACACTCTAATCAAATCAACCCATGTTTCATACCTGAATATTCGGCATATAACCCTCCACCCGAAGTTATCTTTACGAAATATTCCGAACTAGATTCATCAACACCTTACAAATTCCGGCATGATATTCGAACACGATGGAGTGGATGGGAATATATCTTCACGGATGGTTCGAAGAAAGACAATTTAGCGGGATGTTCATTTTATCACAGCAACAATTCGTATCACCAAGAATTCAAGTTGCCACCTGAATGTTCGGTATACACAGCAGAACTGGTTGCGATCAACCAAGCTATTGAATACTGTTTCCAATTCCATGGAAATAAGAATTTTGTTATTTTTACCGACTCTAGAAGTGCTGTAACAAAATTGGAGAATTGTCACCCCACTGCAGATCTTAATCATCTAATTGCGAACATCATCAAGCGCATTCAGGAGCTGAATAGAATCGACAAAACTATAAACATAGTCTGGATCAAAGGCCATTCAGGTATAAAAGAAAACGAGATGGTAGATAATTTTGCAAAAAGAGCTACAACTAGAGGCGATTACGTTCCGGGCATAGAGATTCCTTTTACTGACGCTCATTTTCTGATCAGACAACGACTAAAGAATAAATGGAATAACCATTACAAAATCAGTCCAACAGGAAGTTACCTGAAACGTATACAAGAGACTCTTCGAAGCAGACCTTGGTTTCAAGGAATTACCAATCGTCCTTACATTAGAACCGTGAGCAGAATAAGAAGTGGTCATGCCCTAACGCCCCATCATAAATCAAGAATTGGATACGGAGATGATCCACTTTGCAGTTGTGGAAATATAGGAACGTTGCAACACTTAATATTAGAATGTACAAGTTCTAACAACGAAAATTCTGAATTGTATAAAATTTTAGCGAATCACCTTCCTTTGCCTCTAAATTTAGAATCAATTCTCAGTTCTGAGAACCAGCAAGTTTACGAACTTTTATACAAGCATTGTCGGAAAGTAGGCCTAACATTATAAAATGTAAATTACAGTAAGTTTGTTTGAAAAAATGAAAAAAAGAGGAAAATATTGAAAAAAAAAAAAAAAAAAAAAAAAAGAAAAAGCAGATCAGTTAAAAAAAAAAAAAAAAAAAAAAAAAAAAAAAAAAACAAACAAAGAACAATCTTATAAACAAAATACAGAAAAGGAAAAAATAAGTAAAAAGTATTGGTTGAAAAAAAAAAAAAAAAAAAAAAAAAAAAAAATGCGTTTGTATACTACAAAGTATAATAGAAATAATATATAATAGTAATATTAAGTAATGGATGTTCTATTTTCTATTAAAGCATAGCATTATACTGAACATAAGGATCTGGCCAGTTGGTCATCGACCAGTGATAATAACAGAACAAAAAAAAAAAAAAAAAAAAAAAAAACCAAAGAGACGAAGATTTATTCTGTATAATAAACTATTAAAATAAAACTCAAAGCGTTTAGGTTGCATGTTTCTACAGTGACAAAAAAGAAGAATTTCTCGGAAGTTACACGAGTGTTTCAATATTTTAAAATCATCAATACCACGATTACCAATGCATGGTCGCGTACAGAAAGTAATTTTTCAAAGGCATTATGCCTCAATAGATAGTGCAAGGTGGATTTTCGTAATATGCAGGGTGTTCGAAAAATAGACGGAGATATTTTAGAGGGTGATTCCTTGTTGAAAAATATGAAAAAAAGTTTCTATAAACATGGCTCGGAAATCTATTTTTCGAACCCCCTGTTGCGGGATGTCAAAATTTAGGAGTCTCAGTGGAAATTCCATTAAACAAACTGGTCTTCACATACCTCATACTGACTCTCGTCTTCTTCATCTTGAACAACATCATCTTTCTGTGCCGATTTTCTGCTTTTCTTTGATTTCTTGTTCTAGAATGACAGAATATTAATTTTGCCATCTAGTTATATTTTTCATTTATTAAAAAATTACTAACCTCATTTTGGTTCTCGTCATCTTCATCTCCGCTTTTGGGCTCTTTTTGTGTAGATTTTTTGCCACGCTTTGATTTTTTGCCCTAGAATAAAAATGAATCCCCGTACATTTTAAATTATAGGTTCCTTACTAGCTGTAACTTTCTGAATTTATGAAAACACTTTTTATAAATGTATATTTGCACAAGCAACAGCCTATAATTTTCATATTAAGAGTTTCACCTTGGAATGCGAGATATACTAAGTGACATATAAATCCGAACCCCCAGTTTAAATGGTTTTATTTTAATAAAAGTTGGTGAATGTATTTATCTTACTGTAAATAACAAGTGAAAAAAATTTCAGCCTTATCAGTTGGACATTCCGGTTTTTATACTGCTTTTTTTTAATTCACTAACGCTCTAAAAATGAACATTTCAGCCACAGTAAAGAATCAACGTTGGCGGATTTTGGTTCTTGACATCATTTACGATCGGTTACGATGCCTAGAGTACGGAGACCTGTACGATTTCGTCAACTTAGTGAGTTTGATAGGGGCCGTATAGTGGGACTTCGGAAAGCTGGACTTTCTTTTCGGGCAATTGCAGTTAGAGTGCAAAGAAGTGTAGACACTGTGGTTAGGTGTTGTCAGGCATGGCTTCGAGAAGGCCGTACGCAAAGAGCAAGGGACACTGGACGCCGCCGTAGAACAACAGACCGTGAAGATCGCCGCCTAAGATTATTGGCCTTAAGGGACCGTTTCTCCACTACCAGGTCCATTGCAAATGAATGGTTTGCAGAACACGGAAGACCTATTGGCATGCGAAGTGTTTACCGACGAATGAGAAGTTTTGGCTTGTTGTCATACCGGCCACACTGGGTCCTCCCTTTAACTCGAGAACACCGACGTAATCGCCTTGAGTGGTGCAGACAACGGTCACTCTGGGATCAGGAATGGAACAGTATTGTCTTTAGTAACGAGTCTCGATTTTGTTTAGGCATGCACGATGGTCGTGCCAGGGTTAGACGGCGACGTGGTGAAAGGAGGAATCCACAGTTTTTTGTTGAAAGACATGTTCATCACATTGTTGGAGTTATGGTTTGGGGTGCTATAGCTTATGGTTCCAGGTCACCTTTAATCTTCTTCAGAGGTAACATGAACGCGCAGCGTTATATCCACGAAGTTCTAGAACCCCATCTTTTTCCCTATCTTGACACCCTGGCAGATCCAACTTTCCAACAAGATAATGCCCGACCACATGTTGCAAGAGTCACAATAGACTTCTTTCAACATAATGATGTCACATTGTTACCATGGCCACCAAGATCTCCCGACTTATCCCCAATTGAGCACGTGTGGGATATGATGGGTAGGAGATTGCTCAATTTGCAACGTCCTCCTCAGACTCTAGAAGCACTTCGAGAGGAGTTGGTGGTTGCCTGGAATGAGATACCACAGGAGGACATTGACCACCTGATCAGAAGCATGCCTAGGCGCGTTGGAGAATGCGTAGCACATCAGGGTGTATCCACACATTATTAAAGGTCAAAGGGCTTTAAAGCAGTGCAATCATTTTGAAATTTTTATCATTTACTTATTATGCTTCATTAAGTACTTATACAAAATTTTATTAAAATAAAACCATTTAAACTGGGTGTTCGGATTTATATGTTACTTAGTATAATAAGCTTCAAACGCGTAGAAGCCTTTATTTTGTCATCCTAAAACTGGTCTCAAAAGTCTCCGAAAATGTCGTGTCTGTGTCTTACGATATAAAATGTCAAAGCTACAGAAATCCTTTTGTTTGCAAAGATCTCGTTTCCGCTGAGTTTAATGCTATTTTCATTGATTATGAATACTGTAGAGGATACAGTTATCTACAACTTTTGTTTCATTCATTTTTTCATATAATTAACTGTTTTTGAGATAGAAGGCGGAGAGCGCGCAGTGCTGAGCTATTTACAGCATAAAATGCAAGGTCAACCTTTAGTCCCAATAGACAATGCGTCGTATCAAGTCTGTATATTATTAAAAAATATATAGTTAAGCATAGTTAGTATTTTTTATTAATCACTGCAAACATGATATTTGTGCATTTATTTGAGGGCTAATTAAAAGGAGGTGGGTTGATAAGGGCCATTTATCGCCCATAACACACTCAAAAATAAAAAGACTATTATTGAATTTATTTGTGAACTTCAAGACGTGAATTTTTTCATTATATAATATTTACGGTATAAATAATGTAATATGCTTCGGAAATTATTGCCAAGAAATAGAGTATTTAGCGCTTTTTGTGCATTTTTGATCTTTGAATCATGTTTTCCCTACGAAGCGTTCTATGAACCACATTGAGTTTAATGCTCAGTGAGTCTACTTATTATAAGCTTGTATATGAGTATTTATTTGTTTTGGTTCAGAGAGCGCATCAGTCCAAAAATACGTAATATCTGCTGCGGGAGAGTGTCAGTCACGTTGCAATGGCTGCGGGTTCAGACATGATTTTTCGCGCTCGAAAAGTATTTACGTAGTAAAGTATAGAAACTTCGCAATGATGTCGCGTTCAACGTTTATTGAAAAACTTGATAAAACAACGATGCCTGGATGCCAGTGTGATTGCTGTAAAACGTGACGAAAAACAAACAGTGATTTCCGTAGCTGCTCGAACAAAAACAATATCGCAATACTTAGAAAATCTAAAAACTATGATCTGCAGATGGGTTTCAAGTTGTGTCCTAAATGCAGATCATATGTATTCCGCGTGGTTCAATCTCAAAAGACTCCCACTTTGTCTTCTGTAAGGACAACAAGAGTTCTTAATTCAACAAGTAACTCTGACGATACTGAAGGATGGTCTGATAGTGATTCCAATCAAGAAGACAAGAAAGAAGATTAGTAAAAAATATATTAAGTGTCTGAAAACTGATTATCTTTTATTATTGTGTAATAAACATACAAAACACTCAGATAATTATTTAATTTATGTATACCACGAATTTCAGTTTTCATTTGACGTAAGTATGTTTTCTTCGTTATGGAATACACTCTTCATAAATATAAATGTCATATCTATTCGCTGATGGGCGAAAAATGGCTCTTATCAGCCCACCTCCTTTAATTTCAGAGCAACTTATGAAAGAGCTGCCCATAAACGGGGAATTAAAACTTACAAGGTAGGCATAAATTATTTTTTTATTATTCGTTTTTAATTCAGTATTTATAGGCAAAATAGAAACCCTTACTAACAGATTGAGAAGAAAAGCGGACTAGCGTGGGCCAAAGAACACAAATTATGGTCTCCGAACCAATGGAATTCCATTATTTGGAGTGATGAAGCCAGATTTGAAGTATGTGTTGGTGATAGTAGGAGTAGTGTCATAAGAACTAAAGTGTTTCAGAATGACTGTCTTAAAAAAAAATGTTCAAGTTTCCGTCTTCTGATACACTGGTCTACAAAATTTTAACTTTGTCGTGCCACACGGACTTTTTTGATATTTTTTACTTTAATTGGTGATTGTAAGAAAAAATAAACAGTTACAAAAAATTTGCTAGACAAAGATTTTATTCTATTGAGTAATTTAAAATATTAAGAAAAAACACAGATCTCGTAAATCAAAAGATATTTTTTTTTATAAATGACTTAATAATCTGAGATTTTCTTGAATATTTAGCTTCTAGTTGGTCCCTTTTAATTGTCCAGCAGTAATCTGCTAACATATTTGGGCTCCATTTGCCCTGGTACCGCTTTTCCATATTAGAAATGTCCTGATGGAACCTCTCACCGTGCTCGTCGCTGACAGCCCCTAAATTGTCAGGAAAAAAATCCAGTTGCGAGTCTAAAAAATGGATCTTAAGTGACATGTTGCAACCCAATGCTTGATATGACAATAATAGCTCGCTAACCAACTCTCTGTAGCTGTCACTCTTGTGGTTACCCAAAAAATTTGCAACAACATTTTTAAAAGCCTTCCATGCAGATGTTTCTAAATCGCTTAATTTTTCTTCAAATCTTGAATCTTTTATTAACTCCCTAATTTGTGGGCCAACAAAAATACCCTCTTTTATATTTGCATCACTTATTTTAGGGAATATTTCTTTTAGATACAAAAATCCACTCCCATTGCGATCCATTGCCTTCACAAAATTTTTTATTAATCCTAATTTGATATGCAATGGTGGTAGAAGCACATTATTTGGCTGTACAAGGGGTAAATACTTTACGTTTTTTTGCCCAGGAACTAACGATGCACGCGCAGGCCATGTTTTTTTATATAGTGATTAGTTCTGTCTCGGCTATTCCATTCACATAAAAAGCAGCAAAACTTTGTATAACCCAGCTGAAGTCCAAGTAATAGTGCAACAACTTTAAGATCACCGCAGATTTTGAAGGAATATGTACTGTAATTTATTTTTTCGAGTAAAAGTTTCATATTTTCATAGGTTTCTTTCATATTTGTAGCATGGGCCAGAGGTACAGACGGAAGCTTATTTCCATTATGCAGTAACACTGCTTTTAGACTTGCTTTCGAAGAATCAATGAATAAACGCCACTGAGAGAGATCAAAATCTATGTCCAACATTTTCATAATCTCATTTATGTTTTTGCAAAACACCAAATCTCCATCCTGAGAAAAATACGTTCTGAAGTGTTGATCACGGTTTCGAAAATAGCTAACTTTTGTATTATGATGTAGCAAATTGCATTCTTTTAGACGTGATCCTAATAGTTCTGACTGCTTTTTTGACAAATTTAAATCCCGAACCAAATCATTTAGGTCTCCTTGAGTTATCAAATGTGGCTCGTTTACAATTCCTTTTAACTCAAAGTCATCGTCCTCGTCAACACATTCACCTGAAGTGGACGGTTGTGAATTGTTCTCAACAGACGTAGTTGCAACTGGTATTAGTTCTGGCACTTTTTTACAATGAGAGACTGGTCTTATAGCCGAAGATAAGTTAGGGTAAATAACTGTGGTTTTTTTCTTGTAACTTATACCTTTTATGTCTGTGAGACAAAAATAGCAATCTGAGACGTGATCTAGCTGTTCAGTCCATATCATGGGTACAGCAAACGGCATAGGTCGTGCACCTTTCTTCCAGTCA